CATCAAATATTTAATTTTTTCAATTGGTGTTTTGTCTAATGTCTCTTGGTCCTTGGTTATCGTCCAATGTCTTTTTGCCCAGAGTATTTTTAGTAGATTGGTTGAAAATGGTAATAACTACTCGATTAAACATTTAAAAACAAGTTTGAATCATTTAGCATTCAAGGATATATATTAAAATATAATCACTATTTCCTATAAAATAATATTATGCCGTGTATAGTCAAAATATATTGAAAACCAAATTCTGCCAAATTATACCATGATTGAGAACCCTTATATTCACTAACTTGGGTAGCTGGAAACATCAATTATCAATATATCTAACTAATGTTTTTTTACTCATACTAAGCATACAAATAGTTACCAATAATAGCTTAAATTTTTTAGGTTATCAATGAAAGATAAAAGAGATTTATAAATTTTCAAAAAGGAAGTTGAAACGGCATCATGATGATTATTTAAAGCAGGGTTCAATATTCAAACATCAAATATCCTGCTCTTTTTATAATAAAAAAAAATGTAAAGATTATTTGCTCAAATTTTTGGCAAAATTTTCAAATGCTCATTTGAAGATTAGTGTTAAACGCTTATTTAAAGCAATGAAATTCTTGATATATAATAGAAAAGCTAGTTTTATTTCAGGTATAGAAATGGATTTAATTTATTCTTTAAGATACAAACATATAAAAATAATATAATAAATATACAGAATAAGGACATATCCTCTATATTTTTTTACATGGAATAAAGTGATTCTCGGACATTTTATTAAATAAAAAAATTTCTTAGGAGAATTTAGATCAATCGATTTGAAGGTTAAATTCTTTTTTTTGATAACTGGTCATTCATATAGGTCCTCTTTACAACGGTATATGCACAAAAAAGTAAGATACATATTTAACCCCCCCCCCCCAATCCAGAAAGAACTAATCGATATCATAAGCAGATACAAACACGAATCTCGAAAGCAAGAAAATTCACTTTGATTTTATATTAAGTTTACTATTTAATATAATGATAAAATTTATATAAAAATATTTTATGACTGACTGCATTGTTAATCGTAATTATTTGGCATATCAACAATTTATATAACGAGTTAGATTGTAGTGCCAAGTGAATTTCAAATCTTATCTGAAATGTTCAAGACAAAAACACATAGGCAAAAATACCTCGGACAAATAGATGCCAATGCTTAAAAAGACGAATAATTTTAAAGTTACCCCTTTTTGAAGAATTTAAACAAATTTTAAAAATTGGGATAATTTTTTCAAGGCCTTTTTGTCCATGTGTTTCTGTATAGTGTTTTTTTGCTCGGGTTCGGGCTTTTTTGTCAAACTTTTCTCTGAATAATTTATTTTATTGGTCAAATTTAAGCAAAAACGTTTGAAAATCAACAAAATATAACATTTTAAAAAAATTGGGATTTTATTATAAAATATTTATATATAAAAATCACAAAGGATTTACTTATAAAAGAGTTTTGGGGCAAAATGATCAAAATTCTAGTGAGTATTCTCAAAAAAATTTTTAAAATATTTATAGATTATTTTTTCAACTTATTCATTTAATCCCAATTTCACATAATAACATAATTTAAAAAAAATATTAAATTAAAAATTAGATGAATAAAAATATTTATATAACCATTTTTTTAAAAAGGGACGAAGTCACACTAAAGAGGTGTGAATGCTTAAGAAATTGGATTGAGAAATTTCGAGAAAATCTGCTGGCGAAGACAGAATATTTTGCTGGGGTCTAATGAATCTACCGCGTTGATAAAATATAGTCCTTTATTACTTTTTAACCTCGAGCAGTTTATGCTACCATGGTTCTAATGTCATAAACTTTTATATTTATTTCAAGATTTTACTCTATAGATTATATTTTATATTATTCTTAAATATTGCTATTCTTCTCATTCAAAACCTATGGTATTCTGCATTATCAAACAGAAGAAATATTTTTTTACGATTTTCTTATTTTAAAAAAATAATTGCAATAAAAATTATAGGCGACAAGATTATGAAAATTTAAAGGAGAGAAATTTATTGTCCAGTTTTATGACTAATTTATTGGTTTGGTTACATAAATCTTAGTATGTTAAAGAATAATGTTTATCAAATTGTTTACTAAAAATAGACTTCAAATACTTTTAGTATCGAATACTTGAATTATGAGAATATTAAAATAATTCTGATTTAACACTATAAAATTGTTTGATAAATATAGTTTTATATTAGTTTATTAATGCTTTGTTTAAAATTGATATGAGAATTAAAGGCCTTAAAGTATTTTAATGATATTAAAAAGTCGTGAAAGTAAATTATATTTTGTTTAGCATATGAAATTACTCAAAAAATTTATTTTTATTTAATTCAAAAATTACCATTCCATTTTTTCACCATATCACCTTATAATTTTTATTTAATTTTATAAGCGTAGTAATTTTTTATTAGGGCTAAAATAATCATATCAAAAGCTATTAGTAGTTTTCTAATATTTATTGGATAAAAAAATATCAAATCAATGAATATTGTTTTATTTATCTTGAGGTGTGAAATAAAATCGTCTATAATACTCAATGGCATTAATACTATAGACTGCCGATCGTAATGCTAAAATCAAATTTGAAGTGGCAAAAATTAAATTGAGTAGCAGCCATTTGTGTTTGGAGCTTAAACGTAAGAAACATATGATAATTTCATAAATTTCAGGTTTATTTTATTATATATTATATTTATAATGTTATTTTTTCTACTAGATGAATAAAAAATATTTTTAGAGCATTTATGGTTAGACTGTTTTGATTATTGCCTAATGTAATCAAAAATTAAAATTAGATTTTAGGCAAAAATTTAACAAAACTGTACTTTTTCAAGGGCATAAATCAAGTATTATAAAAATATGTTATTTAATTTAAATATTTATAGGTCAAGGAAAATTTTGGTGATTATTTGTAAGAAAAAACTACACTTTATACCATATACTTTTGGTTATAAAAATACATTTATTTTATTAGTATAACATATATATTATTTGTATTTATTATTGTAAAAATTTATAAGATTATTTTATTTTTCACAATATACATATTCATTATTGATTTTTGTACTTTAGTGAATTAAATTTAAATGAATATATTTAGAAATGGATAGTTATAATTATTAGGGAATAAAATAATTCAAAGCAAAAATAAAATATAAAAAGACTTTTAATTATAAAATATAACCTCTTTTTATTTGCTAAATAAATAAATACAAAAGAAATTATATCAAATCTTTTTTTATATAATTTAAAATATTTAACAATAAAATCATATATATTCAATTTTGTTTTTGGAGTATTCTAAAATTCCAAATCACATGTTAAATATTTTCATAGAAAATCTGACATAATAATTTTTACAAGAAAAAATAGGTTATTAATATAAGCTGCATCTTTAGATTTAATTCTGAATATTTAATTTGAGATATCATACTTATGAAAGGAAACTTTTTATCCTGAACAATATTTTTGTACAGCCATATGCATTACAATATATTATCATTTTCTTAAAATATAAAAAATGTATTAAATTTTATAATAAATTTCAAATCATAATATATCTTTCCTCACTTTAATTTTTGTTATTGAATATATAAATATTAAATTAATTCTTATAAGAAATATTCATTCTAACTTGATAAGATATATATTTGAAAATCTTATAAAGAAAACAATAAATCCTTACTTCTCTAGAAATGACAAAATTTTAAACTATATTCTTATTACTATACAAATTTTATTTTATATTGACTAGTCTATATAAAATATTAAAGATATTCATTAAGTAATAAACTGCAAATGTTTATAAAATGTTTTTTATTCATCTAGTAAAAAAATAAGATTTTAAATATAATATATATTAAAAATAAACCCGAAATTTATGAAATTATCATATGTTTCTTACATAAAAGATCCAAACACAAACGCTACTCAATTCAATTTCTTCAAATACATTAATCTCCAGTCTATACTATTAATGTCATTGATAATACTTGACACTTTATTTGAAGGAATTGAATTTTAATCTAACAGTATAAAAATCTAATATGAAGGGGGCGGTTATGACCCATTTCTTCATTGAAATCATGAGAAAGATACAGTTGTCAATCTTTAATGAGAGGTAAAAATAAGACTTTAGTTATCATTAAGAATTAAATTTTATTCTAACACAAGGGGGTGGAGGATGACTTTATTCATTCATTGGAAATTCTGAGGGAGGGGGGTGGGTAAAGAATAGTTTTATTTTAAGAGTATTTTCATAAGCGTCTAAATGGGCGTTAAATTATTTTTAAGATTATTTCATGGAACATTTATATTCATTCTAATTTGATTTAGGAAATAACCAATAACATTAGTGGATATTTCAGAAAAAAACAAAAGACAAAGATAGAAGCAGGTTCTTTGTCTAAGGAATTGAAGATTTTCGCGTTTTGGGGGTATGTTCTGGAATAATTGAATCTTTGAAGTAATATTTAAAGCGACAGTATGGCTTGTGGAAAATAACTTAAAAAGAGTTTTCTATGAGGTTGAGGATCAAGCGATGTCATTTCACAACGCCTTTACTAGTTTAAATATGTAACATGTGAGGATCATCTTTGCTTTCTCTTCGATATATTTGATTTGTCAAAGGCAACTGAAGGGCTTTTATGGAGTGTTATATTATTATTATTATAAAAATTCAACGAGTTAGGCTAAAAACGGATGTTCACCACGGTTAACTTATACATTATAACTTTAGCAGAATTTTTAAATTCATCAAGTTAATTTTTTTAATTGAAAAATTTAAGCTCAAACATTTTTCATTTTTACAATTAAGTTAGAACATCGGCACATCTTATATGCCTCTTTATATTTTTTATTTTTCCAAATAAATAATATTAATTATTGTAAAAGGATAATTGATATTCAATTATGTCACTTCTTGATGCCTAGTTAAATCACTAGATTTATAACATATGATGTCATCTTTTTAGCGCAGCATTTGGAATAAATGCAGCAGAATTCTAACGGACCTTCATTTGTGGGAATAAGGTTTTGTCAAGAATGGTAAATATTTTTAATATACAAAATTAAATTCATTTAAGTAATAATATGTTGTATCCAAAGGAAGACAAAGCTAACAGAATTTTGCTTTATGCTGTGTGTAAATTTTTTTTAATATAAAATTATATTTATTTTAGTGTCGAAATTGTGATTATAGGGAAGTTGCAGACAATAATTGTATTTACGTTAATAAAATTATGCACGAAATTAATGAGCTAACCCAAATTGTTTCTGATGTTATATCAGATCCTACTTTACCTAGGACTGAAGACCACCCTTGTCCCAGATGTGGGCACAAAGAAGCAGTGTTTTTTCAGGCACAAAGTGCTAAAGCAGAAGTAATGAATTGCAATTTATTAATGTATAATTAAATGATTTAAAATATAAATATTTAAAAGTTTATTTTATTCCTATTGTTTTTTTTCCCCTTTTCATTTTAAAATGAATTATATAAAAGAATACTTAATTAAGCTAATAATCTATCAATTACATTTTGCTATGAAATATTAATTTATCCTAAATTTAAAAAAATATAATTCAACTATTTATTTTGAATGCATAGCTGACGTATATAATCTGACAATTTTTTTCAAAATGTGAAATATTTTATTTAGGGTTACTTAGGTAGTTGAAGCATTATAAACTTGATATACATTAATATCTTCATCAGTGAAATTAATATTGAATATAACACTATTTATATTAATTTGAGTTTGACATTTTTCTATAAGTATAGAGAAATTTTTGCATATATTTTGAGAGATTATATTTTAATTTCTTTATAGAGTCCTGCAAGTCCAGCTCATGAGCATGTGACAGATTAATTATATATTTCCCATATCTTTCTATGATTTTTGGCTAATAAATGACATTAGCTTCATTTTAATTAAGTTAATTTTTGACTTAAGGCTATGACAACTTGTTCAATTATGAAAACAACACACTCATTTTATTTTGATTTGCAAGTTTACAATTTACAATAAAAAGCATAAGCTATATAAAAATAAAAAATCTACATTATTTATTTTAAAAAAAGATAATTAAATACTACTCCACTAAATCCTCTCTTTATATTACACTGTTTTCACTTTTAACTAGTCTTACCCAACTTATATTTTGTGTGTTATTATTACTAAATAAATACCCTTGGCCCCAGTATCAAATATTATTTTAAAATATTTATATTCATTTTTCATTATACGTAAACATTTAAAAGATATATTTTTTGTGTTTGGATCGGGTTGTAGTAGCTCTCCGACCCAAAAATAAATATAAATATCTCAAATAATCATTATAATTTATAATGTCAATTATAAAACCATATCATTTTTTATTCATCACATTTTATCCATAAAATGTAAATCAGAATAACATGTAATTTTCAATTATTATTGTATAATTTACTAACAACCATATACCACTATTTTGTATTTGTATTTTAGTACATTGCATAGCATAGTTAACGATATTATTATATACTTTCATCATGTTCCACCAAGTTAAATAAAATACATTTTTCTAAATCTAATAGCTTCATATTTTCATTTTTGTTTATTGGACAAGTATCCTTAGCACCCGACTGTCCAAAAAAATATTTTCATATTGAAAAAATTATTTCTATGGATGCCAAATTAAAAAAAAAAGTGGTGAAAAGATTAAGAGCAATATGAAGTAAGGAAAAATGCCAATGGCAAATCTGAGGTCTAAAAATTTCCATATGATGAAAGCAAAGAAAACTTAATTATGTAAATTGCAATTTTTGCAAATATATATGCGTTTAATATAACAGGTTAGTATATTTATACATAAAATATATGATATTAGTAAATTTTAGGCACAAAACAACTAAAAAGGCATAAATGTGTATTTACAATAGAGGGTAAAAACGACTCAATTAACAATTGTTAGCCTTTTTGGTACTGATCCCAAAACTCAAAAGTTGTACCAAATTAAAAAAAACAGAGTGTACAAAGGTGTTTACCATTTGTGGACTTGATTTAGATCATTTGATTCAATTCATGGGAAAGGTTGTTGATCAAAATTGGCTGAATATTTGGAAATATTGATGTTAAGAGCATCATATAAAATCCCACGACAATTTCTAAATTTAATAGATACTGCTGATGGTATGCACAAAAAATTATTTCCGAAATTAAACGCATATATGAAAAAGGGTCGATGTGCTGATAACAATATATATGAAAATATGGTTAAATTATTTATAATTTTTAAATTCGATTGTATTTAACTGTTTTATAATATTTTTACAAATTAAATAAAAAAACTTAATATATATCTTGATTAGATTATGGCCATCAAATAAACTTTTATTTAAGGTGGCGATGAATAAATGCACATAAATTTTTTTTAGGTTATTATAATATTCAAACTCAAATTGCAAAATTTTATTCGGGCTCGGGTCGGGTTGGATTAATAAATGTGTGCTCAAGTCGGGTTCGGAAAATTTTTTTCAAATTCGGGCTCGGGCTGCGAAAAAATTACTTTGCAGACCTTTACTAACAGTTACCTTATTTCTAATTTATTGACAATATATTTTTAAATATTAACATAATAAATGAAATAATTGGTTGAAAATTTTTTTTTAGATTTAAGTCCATATCAGTTTAATATGACGGAAATAATTTTATAGATCATTATAATCCTAAAAACTATGGTTAACTTTCTATTTGTTATCTTAAATAATTTTATACTCTAATCTGTTTCCTTACTAACATTTTTAATAAATAAATAACAGAAAAAATAATGTCTTTTTTAAAAATAAACTTATATCATAAAAAAATGTTCTAATTTAATATATTTATTATATAAATAATATTTCACGATATTAGCAAATGTGCTTTTATTTTAATAATGAATAAATAATAAATCGTTATCACTAATTGACTGAGCAGACATATATAAGGATTTTTTTAAGATGTTTAAATATATAAGATATTTTTTTTTAAAATTAATTAAGAATTTGGAAAAAATAATTTGCTCATATTTATATTTTGAACAAAAAAAATCTTCAAAAAATGATTAAAATTTTTATGTATAAAAATCTCAAAAGATTTAGAATTTTAGTTAAAATTTGATCGAAATTTCTTTTTTTTCGAGCATTCTCAAAAAAATCCTCAGAGATCAAAAATCTTTGAAGAATTTTTATTTTGATTCTTTTAGATTATCTCAAAATTTAACCTATCCTTTTTATCTTGTATTATATATTTTTGTAATAATATATTAAAAGGATGAAATGAGATTGTATTACGTTTGTACCGACCCTAATTGTGCTCACAGATGGACTGAATAATCGAACATACAAGAAAAAAAAAGAAGCTTTTTATTATTCAAATTCGTGTATATGAGTTATAAACTTATAAAAATATGATTAGACGTGATAATTTTAAATTGATATGATGTATAATAAATATAAAAAAATGATATAGAATAGTTATATGACGTAATATAGATAAAATAATATATTAAACCACTAAAATTTACATCTTAAAATTTTTTTTTTTATCACAATATTAATTCAATACAAAAAAGCTGTTTGTAGATAAAATAATAATAATTGCACGTTATAAAAAAATGACATCGATAGTTATTATTATACCTCACCATTTTAAGCTGCATTCATAGCCAACGCTATTTATCAGCTGATCGAATTTATAAACTTTTTCAAATTGTCATCATGATTAGAAATTAAATTATAAATATAAAATTGACATATTGGGGGAAAAAAATTGTATCTTTTATCAGCTGTGAAAATGGGTCTACCCGTGAATCGGGCATGAAAAAAAATAAGCTTAATAAAAACATAATTATTTTGCCCACCTTTAATTGACGAAGCCACCGGTATAATAAGTATTGATTGAAATTTGAATGGTCTATGGAATGAGTAAAATTTGGAATATTGCTATTTAGATTAGAATTTAGCTTCATTTCACGTTTATCAGCTGACCTGTTATTAATTTTTTTTGTAATAAAGATGCCGAACTTTAGATAATTTCAAATAATTTTATTTTTAAACCTTCATTTAAACTTTGCAGTGATATTAATTCTCTTTGCATATCTTGGATTTTGGTTTTATATATTTCAAGTTCCTAGAGAGATTTTTTTTTAAAAAAAGAAAAAGGTGTTTATATATGATGGATCACAAGAAATTAAGTTGATACTTTTTTCTCGCTTAAAATAAGGCTTAAGCTAATTGCCTTATTGCAGCGTTTCACTGTTTTTAATTTTAAAATATTTCTTTAAATATACATTTGCAATTAGGCCCCATCTTTAAATATATTGTTCCCCCCTCCTCTTCACAAAATTTAAGAAACCTAATGATGCATCGATATGCTTACCTTAAGTAGATCTGTATCAGCAAAAGGTTCAATCATAACTTCGATCCATGGCTCATCTATAATTGAAGCCGATTGTCTGTTGGCCTTCATATCGCTGTTAGATTTTTTATTTGTTATTATTAGTGGAGATGAATGAGAGTTATTTGACTTTAGAGAACTTGAAGTGGTTTCCTCCAATATTTCAACGAAAAATGGTTCAGATAAAGTTAATTTGGCGTAATTGTTACTGTGTTTCGAGAAGCTAATCTGTATTAAATAATTACATTATAAAAAAACTTTGATTTGATTGACAATTTATCTTGATTCTCGATTATAACTTACGATCAAAATCGGTTATGATGGTCTATAAATGATTATTAAAAACATAGGAAAAGATGTATAAAATGATACATTAAAAGATTTCTGGAACTGGAAATTAAAATGCTAAAAAGTGGGTTATATAATTTCTATTAAATTATGCCGACCTTGAAAAATATTTTTTTAGGGAGTTACAGAAATTGATTATATTATTTAAGCTTAGGTTATCAAACTCTACTCTAAGCATGTTACCCTAATTATTTTTGAATATAGGGGGATGGGATCAATATAATAAATATGCATAGCACAAATTATGAGGTAAGAGCATAATTATGAGGTATATTGATTTTTTTTTTTCAAAAATATATTGTACTAAGAAAAATATTACAGCTACTTTATTCCTTTAAACAAATACATCACAGATATAAATAAAAAAAAATATCTATCAATATATACATTTTTTTTTAAATGATACATTCTATAATTACAAACATATGTACAAACTTAATAAAAAAAAATACATATATATATAAAATACAATATTTGACTTGACGTTCAATAACATGGTGATAAAAAAAATCCATTCATTCATTCATTATTTTTTATCATTGGTCAACTTTGTAACAGTCACTTAGCAGGAGTTTATTTTAAATTAAACCTTGGAAAGATCTTCCAACCGGGATTCCTTATCCTCATTTTGAGCCTTCATTTCGATCAAGCGAGTATTGAGTTCATCGCAAAATTTTTTATAGTATGATTCTGTACTAATTAGCTGTTTTTATTTAATTTTTTTTATAAAAAGATGAGTTTAAATTTAAAAAAATTAATATAATCTAGCAAATTTTTTTATAGTATGATTTCTGTACTAGTTAGTCAGCTGATTTTTTTTTAATTTGAAAATATTTTTTTAGGGCCGAGATTAGAGGGCTCTACTCGGAACACGTGACATTTTATTAGCGGGTTTAAAGGCCAGATTAAAATTGTGTAATATGTATGTATGCTTATCGATAAATTTTAGTTTTTTAAAATTAATATAAACGCAAATTTTTTCGAATAAGGATTTGATTCAGAATCACGTAAATTTTTAAAATAGACCAAGCAATTCACAGCTCCTTGGATTTGGCTGAAAGCCCTGAAATTGTAAAAATAAAATATATTTTTTTTTTCAAACTTGATTAGTTAATGTGGACTTGTTTTCTTTGAGGAGATCAATTTCGTCCTGCAACTATATAACAAATATTAAATTAAATTAAATTATTTTTTTAAATTTAAGGATTATTATTTTTTAAACATCCGCTATTGACCAATTCTAAATCAATAGGGCAGATATATATTGTGATTGCTATATTATTGGATTTGATCATTATAATTTTTTCTTATACACAGATACATGACACAAATACCGATACAATTTTTCATTCAAATTAACTAGATATAGGTATATTTTTAATAAAAAATGAATCTAGATAAGATATTACAACATTTGCCTTTAAATAAAAATTATCCACTGTTACATCAGGTATGCATGCGTGTTTTATTCTTTTATCTATTATAATTTTCTTTTAAAACCTTTTTATTAGCCGCCTTGATACAACCCAATTCGTTAGTTGAAGTTTGATTCAGTAATTCTAAATTTTTGAGTCTTTTTGCGGACTTTTCTACCATCTCCATTTCTAAAGTCGAGTTGGACTATAATAAATTAAGTAGAGGTTGATATAAAATAATATCAATGGAAAGCATTGAAAAAAAATATCAATAACTCACATTGTTTTTATCGGTTACGGGATTGTTCAGAAGGTTTGACAAATAACTCTGGCATGAATCAAAGAATAGATTCGCTTCCTAAAAATATTTTGTTGTAATTGAATAATAATATATAACGACGGTTATTCGTAAATTAACTATCAAGCCGAATACTAACCGAATTCGGGTTCAGACCTTTATAATTGTTTGGTTAGACATTTTGAAAACATGAAACAAACAGTGACCGATTTATGGACAACCCATAGAATTAGGCACTATTTTTCAATCGGGGTAGGTTCGGTCCTCTTTCGGTAAATCCCGCCACGATCAACTGGTTCCCATTTAAGTTTCTGCCATCAATATTTTTTATAGCTAAATAGAGTGTAAAATTCCTGATCCATACTCGATATCAAAACTAATGAATTTGATTCTTCCATTATTTTTACGGGGTAAAAAAAATGCTCTATTATTTAATTGGTAAACTCTTTATCAAACCATTTTATCAAAATCCTTTCCAGATGACGAAAAATCTTGTTCGAGCCATTCGTCGAGGCTCTTATGACTAGCAAAATCAGGTTTTGTGTGACTCAGATCCTTCAGGATTTTCAAAACATTTTCCCTCTCCGATGCTAAGGTGTTGTTCGTTTGACCTTTTAAGCTTCGAGCCAAACGGCTCTCCCTTTCAGTCAAAGCTTCCATCAATTTCCAGTTTTTAGTTCTCAATTCCTTATTTTTTTTTAAAAAAAAAGAATGATAATTTTGTTAAAGCGATTATATGCAACGTAACATAAAAGTTTGATTTTTTAAAAAAAAATGTGAATCATACATTATTTTTATCTTTCAATGATGCTATTAAATCCGTATTATCATCATGATAAACTTGAGAAGACGATGCCTTGGAAGCTGATTTGACATAATTTTCAACCTAAGTTAAAAAAGGATATGATAAGGAGTGATTCATCAACTTCACAATAAGTTTTAAAAATAAAAATGGATTAAAATTTGTGTTTACATCGTATTCGACCATAGTCGGTTGCGTATGAACCAAAGTTTTAGCTATATTTTTCAATTCCTCTTTAGCTTCGATGTCAAGAGTTAAAGCCTAAAAGGATAAGTATTCGAAAATAAATGCATGACTTAAAAAAAAATATAATAAATTAAAGGTCAGCGTGGGTCGGGCCGCAATTTATTTTTACCCGGTCCGAGATGTCGGGGCCGGGTTTTCAACCCTACCGTTTATCTTTACAGATATTTTTTATTTATTTTTTTTTTAAAGAAAAAACTACTTTATCGTATCCATCGTGGTATTCTTTGATAAACGCGTTTATTTGTTCTTTCAATTGCAGGATTTCCATTTTGACATCCCTCTTTAAATCTAATCAACAAAAAAGAAAAAATCAATAAAATACCCCCCATAATAAAGTTTTTATAATGAGATAAATTAATTAGTTTTAAGAGTTTCTTTAAAAAATAATTTGGTATCAAAAAGGAAAAGTGTCAATCGAAAAATTCTAGGGTCCTAGCTCGGCTGAATTTTTTGTTTTTAACTCCGAATTCTATCAAGATAAGCTGACTGGACGCCAAAAATGCATATGTAGCGCGTTACTTTTTTTAGTAGCGTATCTAATAGTGCGCTACTTTTTAAAATAGCGATAACGCGCTCCTATATGAGAGTAAGTAAGTAGCGCTATTCTTCCCCTACTTTAAAATTAGGTATTCTATCAATCGAAATTTATATTTCAAAAAAAAAATGCTTTTATAAGTCTCATTTATCAAGTTAATTAAAATACAAAATGTCGCCAATAAGGGATAGACGTTGAAATTAATTTTGAGACAGATGATAATCACAAAATTTCACTAAAGAAAAAATGATACTATAAAATAGTACCTTTCCCCAAAATTTGCAAAATATTTTTAACTTAACAAAAGTATACACCTAAAAGGTATCTCGATAATATTGACGTGCTAGAAGTGGCTATATCTAATAAATCAAATTTAATCCAAACTATATAGGTTAATCCAACAGAAACAGATGAAATATTAGATAATAAAGTTATAATAACTTTATAATTAATAGAGTTAGGCCAATTTTTTTTGGTAGATAATCTCTTATATATTAATCTGATTACATTCAACTTGGTAATAAGATATCCTGCTCACAGAATGCAACAATAGCGGATTGTTGGGACTCATGAAGGTTATTTATGTTCTGATCTTTTATTAGCTTATTGGAAATAGCACCTAAATAGGTATTGATAACGTGAATAATCTAATACCCAAATGAAGATTTATTAGCTAATAAATCGTCTTGATGCCCTTTTAAATTTAAAATACGCTGAACCTTTTTGATAATTTTTCTTATATAAAAGTTCAGAAAATTAAATACCGGATTGCTCTCAAGTGCTACAACATTTCTTTAATAAGCCAAAACTTATCTTTCTGATTTTCGCGACGTTTTTATCTTAATATTTTACATCTTTATTTAAAATGTTAATCTTATGGACATAGTTTAGATATATATGTATATATAATAATAATAATATTTTTATAAAGTAGCTTAAAAAAAGAGCGAAAGCTACTTTATAAGAAAAAGGTAGGTAATAGGGCTACCTTCTTTGCCAAATAGCATTAGATGTAACGCGCTACTTTCATAAGTAGCGTTTAACAACACTGTCGGACACCATTTTATTTTTTTTTCTTCGAATGATAAATTTTGAGAATAGATCCATAATATATCCATAAATCATTTGTCAGAAACAGATGATTATTTGAATTCTTAAAAGAAAAAAAAATAGGAGCTAGAACATAATTGTAAAGTTTTTTTTTCTTGTAGATTGAAAAATTAACAATGTAATAAAATATGTATTCTAGAGCGTTTTGGGCAATGACGTCACTAGCAATTTAAACTTGAGGGGGGGGGGGGAGTTATTTTATAAAAAAAATCTCTAGCATTACCCGAAATCTAAAATGAGCAAAACAGAAGAAGGAAAACTCTAAAATTCTGAGCACCTTCCTATCCTAAATAACGCTACTGCTTTCTAAATGCAAAATAAAAATTAATGGCTTAAATTATTTATAAAAAACTAGACTCCCCTATTGTTCAAAATTTTTGTTGTTGTTTAAAACTTGTAATATACCATTAGACTCAATGCAGGTCTGATTAAATTTATCAACATTGGTGAGCCCTTTAAAATGTTCCATTATCTCGTTTAACCCGAGAATCGATTTGGTCAGCGACTCGAAATTAGACATGGTTTCGCTCTGGCCTTTGATGACCTCTTCCTTGAAATCTTTGATCTCTTTGTGATAAGCCGCGCCCTGATTGTTGGAATGGGAGACGACTTTCTGTTCACTATTGTTCTTCAGGTAAATGTTGGATTTGATTACCTATATATATATATTTTATATGAAAATAAAACCGAAAACAAATGAAAAATACCAATAAATTTCTTCTGTTTTTTAATTACTACTATTATTTTATATCGAAAAATAACAATCTAATACTTATTTTGTCGAATTTTTTTTTTATTATCACAAACATTTTATAACTCTGGTTTATTATGTAAAATTGTGTTTGGTATAAAAAAAAACCAAATTTTTATCAATGTAAATGATTATTTAAGCCAGGGGATTCACGAATAAAAATTAAAAATCTTTAAATATTTTTGATGAAATTTTGCTAAAAATTCTAAAATTCCCGCCATTTTTACTCAAATTTTTTTTGTTACCCTGGCTCTTTTTTAAACATTTTCTTTTCGTTTTTGAAATTTGAAAAAAACTTGTTTTTTTTTTAAAAAAAATATTTGTTTATAATATTCTATATACTCGTTATCGATTTCCATATTAGATTTTTTTTTTATTAAGCAATTTAGTTTTTTTTTAACTGCTTAACTTTAAATCATGGTACGTTCAACTGGTGTAAGAAAATAGCACAAAACGGAATTTATTAAAGACCTAACGCGGGCTAATATATTAAGACTAAAGACCTAATGTTGCCTAGAATTGAGCTTTAAAAAGTAATAACGAAAAATAGCAAAAGATTCTTTATCTCACTTGATTTCACACACAAAAACACGTTGTGGGTTTTATTGGGGTGGGGGGGGGTGACAATTTACCGATCTGATTGCATGTGGCACGAGCCATTTACTTTGTATTTTTGCAATAGGAACTAGCCATTAACCAACTCGATACAATTATCCATGATTATCTGCAAAAAGATTTTGTACCATATCTTTAAATCATTAAAGAGTTTGTAGAGTACCTACTCTAATAAATTCCAGATAATTTAGGTATGAACTTTTGAGTAAAACAGTTCAAGGCAAAGTTGTCAGAAACTATGAGCGCGGCAGAAATGATTTCAGGAAAATTGAGAGATTCCAAAGTCACCATTATTCAACACAAAAACATGAAAATATCATTTTATGCTTACGTTGAGTAACTTGAGTATTTCGCCAAAATATTTATCCTCCTTTCCGACCATATTATTATCCCCGTGATTGACCGCGTCTTGATTATTTTTAAACCCGTTGGCTACTAAAGGCCCGTTGGATGATTGGGTGCCTTCTCTACCACTATTATTACTATTGTTTTGCTGGACTTTGACCATTTCCAATTGGTGTTTAAGATCATTGGACAGTATGACTTTTTCGTAGAGTTCCATTTTCAGTCTGACTTTGTCCTGTTCCAGCATGGAATTTTGCGAAGTAAGCAATTCTAATTGCTTTGTCACCTTACTCAGCTTTAAAGAGAATGAGTTTGAAAAAAGATAAAAATGTATTGTATTATAATATAAATATATATTTCTAAGTGTCATAAATGTCACTTTTTAACATTTTTCCTAAAGGAATAATAATTTAACCAAGAACCTTGTCATCGTAAGTTGAGCATTTGGTCGCCATTTCACTTTGGAACTTAGTTTCGGTTTGATAAATCGATTGCTCCAAGCCCTCAATATCGTTATCACGTGCCGAAATTAACTCCTGAAAACGTTTGTTTTCCTATTGTTAAGGAAAAGGTTTTATAAAATGAAAACATGTTTACTTCAAGAATAATAGTGTGATGATAAAAGTCAGTTATAACCCAAATACATCAGTAAATTTATCCTAAAGTATTCTATAACGTGATGTCAAGAGATGTATAGATACTCGTTTTAGCCGATAACGATACCAACCGTTATCGGGTTACCGGTCGGATACCGGAAATATTGACCGAATATTAATCCCAAATATCGGGACATCCCTGATTAATGAACATCGAAAAAATTTTCTCTCAATAAATTGTTCTATACCACATGTTTCATAATAAATTTAATACTCATTTACATTATACATATATCTATATTTATTACTTAGTTATAAAAACATTTTAAAAAAGATTATGACAAATAATTATAATTATTATCGATTCTATCCATCCATCCATAACGACATTATACCGATTCAAAAATAAACAAAAACTTTATCATATGAATTATAATTTCAAAAATAAAAAAAATTTCAGATCGTATAAGTTATTGGTAAGCCTCCTTCCTTCCCAAATAATATTTCGATATTCTTTTTAACTTTTTTTTTTTTCGACACAAATTTTGAGTTTTAATACGAAGAAAATTAAAGCTAAAAAAGAATATTTTTTTTCTTCTTTATTTCTCTTTCTTCCTTTCCTAATCTAATATATGCTTGGTACAATTATATCCACCTTTCTGTATAGCTCCCAAAATTGTTAGCTGTTCTACCAGACATTTCCTATATCCCTTCTTTTCTAATCTGTTTGGATCGTAACATAATCCGATCCATCTTTATGTGTAGCTACCAAAATTGTTAGAGGTTCTAACAGACATTTCTTGCATACCTTCTTCCCTAATCTATTTGGTAATCCCATCTATCTTCATGTATAGCTCCCAAAATTATTATCGATTTTAAGATATAATTTCTTTCGTGAAAGTAAAAGTAACAAAGAAATCAATAATAGTGATTTAAACCTGCGCTTGAAACGATTGCAACTCCCCGACCCTGGAGTGCATGATTTGGAGATCTTGAGTCAGGGATAACATTTTTTCCCTGGAGGATTGTTCTAGGTGCGAAAGCTTCGATTCATTTTCCGACCGTACTCGCCTATAGAGATATCGCAAAAATAAATAAATAAATGGTAATCATTATAGCGATTGCTAGTTTTTTCGGGTTAGACCGACCGGTGTCGGTTAGGTTTTTAGAATAGGTTATGAGGTTCGGTTCAATATATTTTTTTTTAAAATAATTTATTCAAATTAAATAATTCAATCAACATCAGTTTCTCGCGATAAAAACTATTCTTCAAAGCAGGTGACTTTGATAAGATTATCGAGTAGAGTTGATACAATCACTTAGGCTGTATTGAGTCATAACTCGTGACAAACCTGGATTGTAAAACCGACCAGAATCGGGCCGTATTTGGTCCAATTTAAAAATCCGGGCCGGGTCATAAAATGAGAACAATATAAAAAAATTCGGCAGGATGGGCTCAAGGAAAAAACAGGATCGGCTAAAAATTAATCTTAAAAACTAGAATTCGGATAAATTTTGACATCCTTGCAACTTCTCTGATATATCGTTAGTTGAGTGTTATAGTGTTCTATATCCAAAAAAGATTTCCTTGTTCTTTTTTTCTTTTAGAAATCCCATATTAGTGGCAAATAAAAATTATTATCAATTATATTTATAATATTTTTTTTTTATTGTGGATATATAAGACTACAGTGCTGACGAATTCATTTAGTGGATATAGAACATTATAATACTCGGTCGACGATATTTATGATTAAAGTTTATGTTTTATTATCACGTTTCAGTTTTTATATTTTGGGCAAAAATATAGATGAAATTTTTATTTTAGTTTTTATAAAAATTATATTTAAAGTTTTAATATTATAGGTATTCATAGCCAATTTAAAAACAAAATAACCAGACTCCTCTTCGATTAGGTCTTTATATTATGGTGCGCGGGTTATGATGGGTATTTTGAAAAATAAAAAATCAACTCTAGACCGAACAGTCACCTTTAATTTGTGAAAATCTCACGAGGAAAAAAAAATAAATAGGGATCGAATTTAAGGGTTAGAAAGTCTATCATATCTGACAAACAAAAAAAAACACAAAACTTTTTGATACCGACAGTTATGAGAGATGGAATGACAGGTGAAAGAACTTTCTTTCCTTATTGTGCTCAAAAATGGACAAGAAGCGAATTGGTGAGATGTAAAAATGGAAAATTTAGTATTGCATATTTTAAGCGGCAATGTGTTATTTTATTCGACTTGAAGAATCCAATTTTACCGGAAATTTAATCAGCCATGTATAGAGTACCTATCTTATCAATTGTAGACAATTTTAGCCGTTAACCTTTGAGTCATTTATTGATTTATATATAAAAAAAATTTCTATGTAGAAAAAACTCATATAAATTATATTTCGGGTTCAAAAGTTTATGGTTAAAAATTTGTTGGAAAATCGTAGGGTAAGGTGATCCCAAACATGGTAGAATATATTTCCGGTTAAAATCAGATTTTTAAATTTAAGAAAACGCGATCAGAAAAATTGATCTAAAGTTGAAAAAAAATAAAATAAACACATTGACGCTATCAAAGTGCTCCACTTGCGCACATGTTTAAAACGAGGAAATCAACAAACATTTAAAGTTTAAAAATCAAATAAAGGAAAAGCTTATCGATCAATTTTGACAGAGCTATAACCTTTGAGGCAAAAATTAATATTTTTTTAATCTAATTTTATATATAAATATCCGAAACCATTTTAATTTTTTTAAATTTACCCGGGCCGGTCCTGAAATTTTTGAAAAGATATCCGGGCCGGGCCGGAAAAAATTTAAAAAAAAATCCGGGCCGGGCCGCACGAATGGTATACCTCTACAGGTCTCTGATATATATATTTTGGGAATAAATAAGTTATTATCCACCACTTCCAACTCAAAAAATTTTGAAAAAGTCGAAAATGTCGAGTGGAGCACTCCAATTTTAGACCGACATGCACGGACATTTTTTTGATTTATAAGGTTATAAAATTTTAACAAAAAATATATATCAACGATGTAATCGAGTTCATAAAAATATATATCACAACCCCCCCCCCCTCTCCCGCACCCCATAATACGAGAAGAAGAAAAATAAAATAAGACATATGATATAGTATATAATTTGAAAGTGTAAAATGAGCCTTGCAGTGTTTTTCATTTTTTTTAAACTTTTTATTTGTACAGGATAAGATTAATTTAATATTAATATTTGTATAGTAATAAAAATAAGAAAAATATAGATACCTTTTATTTTGATTATAATTATAAAAAGGATAGTTCAACTTTTTTTTAAAAAAAATGATTTTATTTCTTTATTATAGGATAGGTTTTCTAAAATCGCTAAAAAAAATTGGGAAATATCGCTTTAATATCCTCTAGGAAAAAAATTTTTTTTTAAAGTAAATTTGAAATTAGGGAAACTAAACATATGTATTTAATATTCATTTTGCTATTTGATTCCCATTCTCATCGATTAATCAGTCAGTGGGTTAGCGTTTTATTCTAAACGAGCCCCTATAAGATTCAATTTTTTTCTTTTTTTTTCCTTCTTTCATTTTTATTAACGTTTCTCTTTTAAAACTATTTCCAAGTTTTATATTTTCGGGCCCAGCCGGGGTATTTAAAAATACGGTCCGGCACGTGTACCCGAACCGGGCTTAGGACCGGCTCCTGCAGGTCTACAATGTAATTATATAAAAATTATGCAGGCTTGAAATGAATGAATGACATAACCATAATTATGGGAAAGAGATCCATTAGTTAGAATTAGAAGATGTATCTCAAACTATTAGTTCGTAAAAATATTAAAAAAAAGAATAATTGGTTATTATTTTAAAAACTACTGAAATAAGTAATAGTGCACACAAATTGAACATTTCAACGCTGCGTTATAAAACGCAAATAATGCATTTTAATTGCATTCGTTTAAATTGAGTACGTTTACGTTTTGTATTTTAAATTATTGATATGCTTTTTAAACGCTGAGTTGAAACGTTCAATTTGTACGCACTATAACTCGACAAATTGTAAAAAAAACAAAAAACTAGTATATATTCTATCGAATCCTTAACATGCATAAATGTATCGCGATACTTTTGTTGTATCTGTCGATTTTTTAATTGACATTTATGGACGTTTTTAAAATAATATATTTTCTGTAAGAAAAGAAGAGATGAACTTTTAATTATGGAAGCAATAAAGATTTGGATGGATATCGACATGGGTATATATAAATAAATAAATATAATTCAAACAGGATCATATGAAATATTGGGTTTTGACACTTTAGCGACAACTCTAGAATTTAGTCGTATCCAAATATGTCAATTTAAAAAAACAATAAATATCCAATGAATAAAACATAAAAACCGATTATGTCACATAATAGATACAAAAGTACTATATTTAAAAATTTAAGAAAGAAAAATTATATTTAAAATTGGTCTAATTTTAGGCCATCATTGTTGGGCGCATTCTTCAAACCAAATTTAAATTTTAATGAACAGGAAATCGGTTTGGGGATAAATTAAATAAAAATAGGATATATGTTCAAAAATTATTTAAATAATTTTATTCATCAAGAATGTCAAATCTCAAATGGTAATAAATATAATATAATTATAATTGCGATATTACTTTAACTGTTCAATTTTGGAATTAGCCTCGGATGTCAGGTGTTCAGCTTTGACCAGCAAGCCGCTTTTTTCTTCCAACCTCTTCTCCAGCGATTTAATTTGATCATTGTGACACTGGGAATATAAAAAAAAGGATTGATTTAGGAGAGAGAGAGAGAGATAGATGTTATGAATTTTAATTAAATATAATTAAGAATAATTTTTTTTGGACGCATTAAATCGGGGTAGTGAAATAGCGGGCATTTAGCGTTTCCCGCTTCTTTCGCGTAAAAATTAGCGGTGTTCTATAATCTACCCGATAGTAAAATAAATATAAGATACTATTTTCCATTTTATTTACAAACATATTCTTATTCATTAATGTTTTATTTTTTTTTTAAAACATAAATTGTTTATTACATTTATTTAAAGGGTATCATTATTCTTTAAATGTTAGGCAAGAAGAATGGATGAACTAATTTCGTAAAAATTCACTTGGGTACATGGAGATGTTAGAGAGGTCAAACGAAGAATTGACATTTCAGTTATGGGAACTAGAGAGCAGCTAAAAGTTGTTTTTTTTTTGAAGAACAGCTCTTCCACAAACTACCAGGACTTACCTCACTGAAACTCATTGCTATTTTTTTCTATCAGCAGTTTGATAAAATATTATCTAGATTCTTCACTCCTTCCACAAGGGCAGTGAATCCAAGCTCAGGTTTATTTCCGCTTATATACAAGGTGCAACGGAATCCACTTATAAGGCAGGAGATTTTTCCTTTTTTTTCTCAGGATTGAATTTCGATGTCTAAGTTACCGTATTCGATAAAAATACCTAGCATCACCATTTCTTGGAGTCATCAGATCTGGTTTAAATGGCGCGGATTTATACCACTAATAATTTAAGTAGAATGCCAAGTTTTCGTTCCAATAATTCACTCAAGATTCTGTTTCTAGCTCGATAATATTAAGGAAACCCTTTACTTTTATAGAGGATGTATAATATACTATGGAAACGTGGACATCTTCGTCCTGAGACCTACAAGCCCGACCCTAAACCGTCCGTATTTTTAAAATATACCATACACGAGTCTAAAATATTTTTGAAAATACCCAGGCTGGGTTATTAGCTAAAAAAATCAAACATTAATGTAGCATAAATCGTGCCGGACCATGTAAATTGTACCCCTGCAGGCCTCTGACAGTTAATAGATAGATTTAGGTGAAAAAAACTCAAGACTATATTTTCATGAAAACAATTTTAATTAAAATATAACTGAGGAAAAATTGAATATGCGAATCCTTTTATTTGGATATCATTTTTTTTAATCAAAGGTTTTTAGCTATCAATGATCGCATTGTCTAATTTGGGGTCGTGATAACTCGGACAACTCCCTAATTTGACTAAAATTTTGAGTTCCAATAAAATTCCTGAAATAGAAATAAAATTAATGGTTGTTTCTTCATAATATAATTGTTGAAGTAGATTTTTTTTAAAGGAATATGACAAACTATACCATTTTTTTCCAATATAATTTAGAAATTTATTGAAAAAATATATAAATAATCATATAATGTAGATCAAAAAAATTTTAATTTTGTTTTATGAGGGGAAAGGATTGTTTGAATCTCCTAACCCCCCCCAACCCCATCCATATACCACTGAGTAGGGAGATTTTTTTAAATTTTTTGCTCATTTATGTAAGACCTCTGTAAAGTATAGGCATTTGTTGTTTTTCGCTGCATTTATTAATATTAAAAAATAATAATGAAAACTTCACGAGTAATCATTAATTAAAAAATTAAAGATTTAATATTTCTAAAGGAAGTATTCATAAATTTAAAGAAGACATTATCAAGACCAAATATAAAAAAAACAAAGAAAACATCTTATTTTATTTCATTTATATTTTTATACAAATCTTGTATATGCTTATGCATACATATATAATTTTACTCATCATTTTCATTAATTGATAAAAAAAATTATTTAAAGATGGTTGCACATACTTAATCTCACTTTTTAAGGAAATAAGAATATTGCAGATGGTAAAAATTCTTTTTAAAAAGGTAAAAAGTCTTGATAAATTGAGAATTTGGTCACAACAGGTTGGACTGTAATGAAATATGTTGCGTATTATTATAAATAGGTGTTTTCATCCTTTTATATATAAATAATACTGACCTCTTTTTTAGGTATTGCTCTTAATATTTTTCAGAGGACTCAAGTCCCATCTAGTAACACTACTAAATTAGGTTTATATAAAAGGATATAACTAAATCTTTTTGATTTATCTTAAACTTAAATATTGTTATATATATATATTTATTTTTGATAAAAATATATGGGCCACATTCCACGTCAAATCGATCACGATTCGGCCGACCCCTTTTAAAATTGTTAAAAATTTCTGGAATTATTTAGATAGGTATAAGAGTGAGAAATCGGTTTATTTTAGCTCGCTAACACATCTGGTTCTCGAGATATAGGGGCTCAAAGGTACAAAAAAGAGCCACTTTGGAATCTGTAAAATTTTTGAAATGATTATATCTCAAAAACTATATATAGTAAAAAATATTATAATATATCATTTTGTAGGTAAAGAAATTCTCTAATGGGCTAACAAAGAATAATAAATATTGGCGCCATTATAGGCTTTTAACATCTGGTTTACCTAAATTGCTTTACCTGTATTTTTAAGCAAAATAGTGAGTTTGTTTTCTAATATTTTTTAGACACCTTTACTAAATATATATACAATATCAAAACCTTGGCGACGCTATCGACTCCAAAAATTAATAAAAAATAGATGATGCTTTATGAAATTATGGATTATGGTTAAAATTTTGCTTCAATAACCAGATATTTTCACTTTTTATACTAAAAAATTTTGATTTTCTATTAAATATACTAATTAATTGAGGAGCAGATTGAGCATATGCCCATTAGACATTTAATAATAGGTAAACCAAATGTTAAAAGCCTATAATGTCGCGAATATTTATTATTTTTTGTTAGCCCATTAGAGAATTTCTTTACCTACAAAATGATCTATTATAATATTTTTTACTATAAATAGTTTTTGAAATTTAAGCATTTTAAAAATTTTACAGATTCCAAAGTGCCTCTTTTTTGTACCTTTGAGCCCCTATATTTCAAGAACCAGGTGTGCTAGCGAGCTAAAATAAACAACTTTCTCATTCTTTTACATATCTAAATAATTCCAGAAATTTTAACAATATTTAAAGGAGTTGGTCAAAAAAGTGCCTTTTTTGATCGATTTGACATGGAATGGCCCATATGTTATTTTGGTACTTTAAAATGATTAATTAGTTTTAACACAAAATAATCTTCATGATAAATATTTTACTTGCAAGTTAAAAAAAGGTACATTGTATTTTTGAGCAAAATTGTTTATAAATTCTTTGATCTCCTCTTGACTTAATTTATCACAAATGTGGGCTATTTCATTCATAGAATCTAGAATATTTGTAGTCATTTTATTGTTTTCTTGGCTTTCTAATCCTTTACACATCATAAAATCAATTAAAATATTGGGTTTACTATGATGTAGTCAAATTATATAATAACAAAAAATTAAGACTAACATGAGTGCAAAATTATAAACTTATTAATTTAGCCATAAATATTGTGCACTCCTGTTAATCTTATTTTTTTTAAATAATCTTTACATATGTACATATATTTGAATTTTATTCTTATGATAATAATTATAATAAAGTGGCTTTAAAAAAAAATGTTAAAATAAATTACCAGAAGTTTCAGGCATACTAGAATTACTCAGTTCTGCATGATCTATATTATTAGTGTCTAAAAATTGAAACTCAGAAGTGGTATTTATTTCTATTGGATTTATATCTGTTTCATGTTTACAGTTAATATTCGATTCCTCATTTGTCATATTATGTTGATTATGATTATCTACCAATTTTGTAAGTTTACTATTAACTACACTTCCATTTGATGATTGAATACCATTATTTTTAATTATGCCTTTAATATTTTTTTTTTGAGGCAAACTTTCCATTTTCTTTTTGCTAGGTTCCGATGATGATTTATCAACTACATTATTAAAATGAACACTTTTATTATTGTTATTAGCATGTTTCTTATCCATATTTTTAATTTTTAAATAATTTTTACTATTTTTAGATTTATTAGTTTTAACTTTATTTTTAATTAGTGATAAAAAAGAAAGTTGATTCTTTTCCAATTGTTTATGTTGAATAGCCATAGCTTCTTCGAATGATGATTGCTTTGTTCCCAAGAATATAATTATGTATACGAATATAAATATAATGAATATTATAAATCCAAATGTTAAAATGGTATAAATATCAGGGAATGTCCCAATTTCTAGATAATATTTCAATATATTCATTGAAGTTTCTAAAAAAAAACTTTCAAAGATTTAAGACGAATGAATGTATTTAAAAAAAAGAAATATAAATAACAACCGATAATTTAAAGAGAATTTTCTATAATTATAAATTTTTAAAATTCTTTTTACAAAGGTGGAAAACATTGTCACCGCATTTTCAAAATATAATGTTATATGTTATAATATTAGTAATAAGCAATAAAACAATTCTAGATGTATTATTATTTATCAGTTTCGTTAAAGCTCATGAACAATTTATGATAGAAATAAAAATTTAAGATAAAAGCTATAAATATTTTATTTGCATATTTTTTATCATTATTTTTAATTCAAATTTAAAAAGATTACCATTATTTATATATTCTGCTTTCAATTTTTAGCTACACTTATGGTTATAATTTATAACGATTTATTTAAAAATAAATATGTTAATAGTACTTGACCGAATTTCAGTTTGGTCACTTTTATTTCGTATTAAGGTAAACTTTTTGTAGTAAAAATAGGCTAAATATTTTTACAATATTATAAGTTAATTTCTATCAATAAATTTTATTTTACAACGATGGGATAATTCTTAATTATACTTATATGCGTTTTATTAAAATTAATTACTTTTTATTCAAAAAAATAATTTTTTTTTGATAATATGTTGAAAAATATATATGTCTAAAAATGATATATCATATCTATAAAATGTAATTGAAAAAAAATAATAATAGAAGCCAAGTTTAATTTGTCTACATGGTGCTTGATATCAATAGTGTCCCCAAACGTAGAATTATCGGAATAATTTAGAATAAATATATATATTATTTTAAATTTTTTATATATTAATATTTATTTTAAGGGTTGAAATATTTTTTTAAAAAATATTTTTCATTTTAAATGAAACCCAAAGTTTTTAATAATTTTAGTTGATTTACCAAAATTAGAAAAAAATGAATAGTTGATAATTTTTGCATGCATTGAAAAATCAGATATGGCTAAAAAATCTTATGATTTATTATTTAAATTACTACTTATTGGAGATTCAGGTGTAGGAAAGACGTGTATATTGTTTCGCTTTGCAGAAGATTCATTTAATACCACTTTCATATCCACAATCGGTAAAAATATATGATTTATTAACCTAAAGTTTTATATAATGTATTATTTATCACTAAATATTTTCAAGTGGTATTAATTTTGATTTGGTAATTTCAATTTATATTGTATTTTATAACTTGATATATTCTATTATTGAAATATTTTTCTTAACATTTTTTTCACTTATTTCTTTGTCATAATATAAATAATATATAAATGTTATTTTAAAACACTAGCATAGGAGGGAATTACAAGATAATTTTGCTATTAAAATCTAAGAGAAAGTATATTGTCAACATTCATAATTAAAATCCATTTTATAATTTAATTATTTTTATATGCTAGTCATCAAAAGGTGTAACATGTAACCATTATTGGCTTTGAGAAGAGGGGGGGGGGTCTAGAGTGCTATGAATTGGAGATCTTATTTAAAACCTATTTGAATTTTGATTATATTTTTAATGAAATTATTGCAAATGATCTATAATAAAATGTCAAGATGTAGATGGTTATAATTCTCATCTTAATAATTTTTAAATATTCCATTACTTAAATTTTTATAAAAAATTTGTAAAATTAAAATTTCTTTGTTAGGACTAGTTAGTATCATTTATTTTATTTAGTAACAGTATATTCGTCCATTTTTGTTTGGTTTGAACTTAATCAGTTTGTTTTTGGAAAATAAGATCCATGGTTCAGTTTTATCCACCTTTTATGAAGACTATATAAAATATGCTAAATAGTTGTGACATATTTATTGAAAATAAAAAAATTAAACAACTTATAACAATATTTGTTAGTAATTTGAAAAAGATATACTATTTAAAATATTTAACTCTTGTTCTATTATGCTAAAATATCATTATTTTTTCTAAGCTATATTAAAATTGTCATACATCTACCTTTTCCTTTATAATTGTGACTCATATTTGTGGCATTGAAATAAGATTTTGGCACACGTTCTGTTCTGGATTGTTAAATCATCTTATATTAGCGAAATCCAAAATGGCCCAATAAAATTTTTATTATGGTGTCAATTTTTTAGGTGGAATGCCTGACTAAGCCCTACTATGTTCACTAACTTAACTATTCTGTTCTAAATAAACTCATTATTCAAAGAATCCTTTTCCTAGGAAGCCGATTTCTAAGCTTTCATTTGAGTAAACTTTCAACTTTCTTTCCAATAGCATTGAGAGATCTATTGCATGGTAACCTATTGATATTATATTACGATCCTTTTAAGATTTTGCATATATAGTGGTATGAAAAAGATACCCATCTTACTTGAAAGTGTTATTTTATTCAAATCCTAATAAACGAATTGATTGCTATCAATTAGGCGATGACTAGATATATTTAACAGTAATTATTGTTAATAGAATTCATTCTAGATTTTATGCACAAACATCCCCTTATTATTATACTATATGGAAACCTAACAGTTCTTAAACAATAAGCATGCTTGCTTATGTTTTTAACAATAAGCATGCTTGCTTATGTTTTTATAACCCTATTTTGCACTATCCCAAAGATACATATATAAATTTGATACATAGCTGATTGTGTTGCCCATTGCTCTTCTATCAATATTACATATTTTACATCCAAAGTTAACCCTTAAATAATGTCTTCTTAAGCTTATATAGAATACATGATGTAAATAGAATTTTAAATTAATTTTTTTTGTCTTATATAAGGAATATCCTATTAAATATATTCTTTGTTGTCTTTATCTGGCATATATTTTTTCAAAACGGTTATTAAATTTGATTAATTAGATTTAACATATAAAAAAATAATATGATTTTGAAAAAATTTGATTTTAATTATTTACTACAACCTCACATGGAACAATTTTTTTAAAAGAGATGATTTTAGTTTGAAAATTTATCTGCACTGAATTGTACCAAATTACCATATTTGGCTGAAAGCTAGTGCTGAAATAAATTAAAATGTCACAACTCTCAACTAGATTCTATAATACTATATTTATTATACTTGATTTAGAAAAAAAATCTGCTAAATATTATCTGATCTCCTGGAGGAAACATTAATGTTTCTGCCGAGGTGTTAAATGTGATATTTAAGGATAATTTTGTTAGATTCATTTAATGATATAATTTAAATTTAAAGGATTTTTTCTATGTAAATGTCGTATGGGGATACATCCGTGGGGATTCAGAATCTCTTGATTTTCAATACTTTACCAAGGGCGATTTAAAAAATTTTAAAATCCGATTTAACCGAAAATGTGTTTGTAGCATGTGTAGATTATTTACCCTATAAATTTGAGCCATAGATACTTTCGTATTTTTTTAATTTACATGAAAAATCTATACAAAAATTCATATAAATTAGGAGTAGTTTTAAAGTTCATTGCCAAAATTGTTTGAAATTTACAGTTTGGGTACTCTACACACGCCGAAATACAATTCCTGTGAAATCAGATTTTCAAAATCTAAAAATCATTCTTAGTAAATGATTTAAAATCAAGATATCCCCACGGATTCCATATCCTCGTACGACATACAAATATAATTTTGACGATTCAAATAATAAATATTAAATTAACCGCTTAATAAATAAATAATTATTTTACGATAACTTTAAGCGGTAAATATATTTGTATCAAAAGTTAATTAAGAAGAAAAACTTTTCCAAAAAAATTATCTGGAGCCATAAAATTATGTGTGCTATCAATACATATATATATATATATATATATATTAGAGAACAAAAAAAATTGTACGTTGACTGAATTTATTATTAACATGTCTATTAGTAAAATATTAAATAGTAGTGTTGTTACCGAACGCGTTCAAAATAACGCGTTCGTGAACGAAGTTCGTTTTTTTGAAAAAAGGTGATGAACGGCGTTCCTTTTTTTTGACGAACTTTGAACGTGAACGCGTTCCTTTTCTTTGATGAACGCGTTCAATTTTACTTTCGTTCAATTTTAAAAACACTTTTTATTTTTATTTATTTGAAAAATTAATATTAATCCACATTTTTTAACAAAAAAGTCTTATATTTTTATTTATTTGAAAAATTAATATTTAATCCAATTTTTTAACAAAAAAGTCTTATATTTTTTAATCAGCTGTTTTTACTTTTTCCTTTTTCATATTGCAATTAACGTACCATAGTGCTACTGCTAGAGAAGATATGATTAAAGTTTATTAATTTGAATATTTTAATTTTAATAGATTAGCATTTGCATGGATATAAATATTTCATCATCAGATTCTGAAAATCAAAATTCAATATTAGATGAATTAGAATTACCATGGCCCAAATATCAAAAATATTTCACTGTTTTAAAATCAATTCCGAGATATCCTTTTTATTTGACGAGGAAGAAGAGGGCAGATTGGAGGATGATAACATAGCTCAATTTTTTGAAACAATGGATAAAACATTAAATGTTTTTAATAAATTCCCCCTTTTAAAAGAATTGTTTATCAAGTATAACACCGCAATCCCTTCATCTGCCCCTGTTGAGCGAGTTTTTAGTATAGCTAACGCTGTATTAACTGACAAGTATTCATGCCTATCAGATGAAAATTTTGAAAAGCAATTATTATTAAAAATTAATAAGAAATTTTTTTTTTAATTTATTTTTTTATCGCTCTATTATATTGTATTTATAATTATATTATCAAAATAAAACTATTATTTTTTATCATGGCTAATATATTGTGTTGAAAAATATAAGGCATTTATTTATATTAAATTAAATTTTAAAAAAAATTTATCATAAAATTTTGAACGTATGAACGCGTTCATGAATTTGAACGCGTTCCGATTTTTTTAAAAATGTTTACAGCACTATTAAATAGGGATAGGCCGCGAAAAAAAATAATACAAATTGGGTAATTCCACATCAAATCGATAACTGCGGCCCGACCTTTTATAATTTTGATAAAATTTTTCATACCTTGAGAACATCGTTAGAAAGCATCGAACCCAAAATTGTAGCCTCCAAGTAACAATGGTTTCTGAGATACCAATGGTCGAATCGAAAGTGCCAAAATGATTTTTTTTCGAAAAGTAAGATTTTTTGAAAATTGCGATAAGTTAATAATTATATGTAATTTTGTAAAAATATCTAAGGCCATTTATTAAATATTAATGTTTTTTTTGCGGTTTTAATTTAAGTTATAAATTTTGAACCTGAAACGTTAGGTGTTTCGCCTACCAAAATTCTTTTTTTGTTTGAGATGGTCAATATTTTAATTAATTAAATTGAGATAAATTAACTTTTTTTAATATTGATTGATTTTTATTATCTTAAATACTTATTATTTTTTTATTGGTCATTATAATTTTAAATTTGTTAAATTGATTTTGTGACTTTATACGCCTAAATTATACTTTTTATTCGTTTGATTGAAAATAAAAGATTATTTGATTTATTCTTGCGTTGATCTGATTTTGGGATTAAAGTAAATTCGTATGGAGCAAGAATGCTCCTTCCTAGCAATTTTATTATTCACTTATATTATAACTATATTTTAAAATTTTAAACTTGGGACAGCTATAGATATTTTAGTTTTTCCGATTTAAAAAAATAAAAATAAATAATATTTCCAAAAATAGAGGGCGCTCCTATGAAAAATAACCCATTTTTGTTAAAATTTATATAATTTTTAAACATAATTAATAAGATTTATTTATTTTTTTAATTTTTGAAAAATTATTTTAAATGTGCAGAGGGAAATTAAAATTCACGAAAAATATTAGCTTTTCATCTAATTAATTTTTTTTTAACGCCTTGATAATTTCCATTTTCAATAAATAATAAGCATGTCCAGTTGTCTTTGATTGGCTCACGATTAAAATATTATTTTTTAATATAAAAAGGAGATCTGGTGTCTCATCCTAACCATCATTTAACGGATAACATGGATTTATTATATTCTCCGCATCTGCGCATTGGAATATACTTGCTTAGTTAAAGCAATTGGGTACACTGCTCGAATTTTGTATCTCCCAGGTATTAAGATATATCTTATCTCTTCAGCCTCATACTCTTTGTTGGCATAAGAAAAAATTATACCTTCTTATAGGCTCTTCAGCCTATTTGATCTAAAAACAGTCTTTGTAAGCATTCCTTGGCAACTAGCCTATTGGTATTTTGATATTTTCGCCATCTTTTTTTTGGATGATATTCCAATTTCATTTCTTGATTGTATCTATTGATGTGGATGTTGTGGCATGATATTATTTATTACATATTCGCAGTTAAATTTATATTTTCTCGATTTTTTTTGTGAAAAACACTTACAGCATTGATCGGAAATACAGTGTTTTCCTCCTCAATATTATTTAGAAATTAAGTTATCCATGTCATAACTTTTGGCAGATTCATTTTATAATGAAAGTGCTTAGATTTTTTTAAAAGGATTTACGCATTTATATTTATATCGAAATATTTATAAAATAAAAATTAATCGATAGAAGGCAGGTGCGTGAAAACTGGCTCTTATCTTTTCAACAATTAATTATATTTTCCTGCAGATATCAGAATCATCGTGACTATCTTTTTAGGAAATTTGATTATTTATTATAAAAACAAATTAATTTTTACAAGTTATTTAATAGTAATATAATAATAATATAAGTAAGCCTGTCATCGGCGACTTAAATAATATTATTTATGTTTAAAAAATAAAAAAATTTTTTAACAAAAATGCATTATTTTTTTATGGGAGCGCCATCTATTTGAAGAATATTCATTTCTTTTTTTAAAAAAATCGTGATAATTAAAAACATCATATGGATGTCACAGGTTTAAATGTTTTTTTTTAACTTATAGATATTATATAAGTGAAATAATAAAAATTAGAATTAAAAAAAATTCCCAAAAGGAAACGCCTGAAGTTTTCAAGTTCAAAATTTACAACTCAATCCTCAATATTAAATAAATAGCCTTTAAACTTATAATTTTTAAATATCGTATTTTTCGAAATAAGATCATTTTGGCACTTTTGACCTTTGATATCTCAGAAACTATTAGTACCTGGAGGCCAAAATTTTGGATTCGATGCTTTCTAATGATGTTCACTCGGTATGCAAAATTGTTATAAAAAATTAAAAAGGTCGGGCCGAAAAATTATTGATTTGGTTGGAAATACCCAATTATCTTATCTATGGCGTGTAAACAAACATTCCACGAAGATACAAATTATGAGTCCACCTTGAATAAGTTGAACAAGAGGATTGGAATGTTTTTTTTAAAGGAGAACGACTTTCGAAGTATCTTTTCAACTTAGCCCTAAAAAAAAATTCTAGCCAACTAGCCCCCATGAGAACATTTTTTTCTTTTGCTGGTTTAGCGTAAATTCAGCGCAATTATCCTTTAATAATTATTTTTATACATGATACAAAATTAAGTTTATAATTCTAATTAGCCATAGATCTAAACAAATGCCAATATTGTTGTGTTTATATACTATTTTAATTATTTTTTGTTAACGTTTCTCAATAAATTATATATAAGCGTTATGATGGGTTGCGGTTACGGTACGCCGATTCACGCCACCCACGATAACGCGCTTATTATGTACGCGTTAATATTTTCCGGACATTTAGAATTTCGGAATCTCGAAGTAAAAGAGAAGAAATTCTCTATATATTATATCCAGCGATCTCTTCTTAGCTAAGAAGCTTTCTCCAAATAAAACACGAGCACGGGAAAACTTGGATATCTTTGCATTTGCATATACAAATATGTATTTGTTTTTATTCGTCCAATCAATTTTTTACCTTCGATATTATGTAATATGTTTTTAATCTTTAAATGTACAATTCGGGAGAGAGGACAAAAAAAATCGATTTTCGAACCAAACATACGCTACTTACCTTTTGTTAATAGCGCTACTTATAATTATTAGATAAGGGTTATTACTCTTTTTTTCTAAAATAAAAAATTTGTGGATAATTATGGGAAAGATAAAAAAATTTTGTTTTATACTTATGGCGCATTTATATTTTGAATACTCGACCACCATTTTTGTCAACCATTTTTTAAAAAATGTCAAAAATTGTTTATTTGTTATAATGGAAATAGGAATCGATTTCAAAATCAAGACCATCGAATTGGGCGGCAAAAAGATCAAACTGCAAATATGGTAATTATAATTTATAATTATATATATATTTTTTTCTCGATTTCGCGTGAATGATGTTAGTTTGCCGTCAGGCATCAGTTTTATAAAGTGTAATTTCAATGGCGCTCCATTTATACTTACTTTTTAAGATTCCTAAAACCTGACTATCAACGCCAATCATTTAAATTCGGTTGAAATCATAAATCAATTCGATATGCAGTCATGTTCAACCGGTCCAACAATTATGGGTTAATATACAGCTGTCATCCGGTGGAACCCGACCCTATCTATTTTTTTTTATTTAAAAAAAACTAATTAAATTTGTCGGGCACATTATGCTATTGGATAGTTTGCTTTTAAAAATTTTATTCAAAAATACTCCCCTAAAAAAATATATCTTAATAATTAATCATTGTTTTTTTTTATTATCCTTGGAAAAGGTAATTTTTAAGATAATATTTTTTTAACAATTAAGGGGAATTTTTATAATATAACCTTTAGAAAAATATAATCTTATCAGCTCGCCGAGTTACAGCGCCGTTAGCTGGAGTTTTTATGATAAGCCTATCCTCGCAAATTGTAAAATGTTTTCGTCAAATTTTAGTAATTTGAATGCCACCTGCCAATTTAACCTCGGACATGTTTTTTTTGTTATCGTATCTGTCGGAAAGTTATTCCGAATAAGGGGAACCCCTTTTATATCCCACTAATTATATCGTAATCTTAATTTTATTATGAGCCGAGTGGAAATTGTACGTAATTCGCGTTCCCCCATTTTTTTTATCGCGCCATTTATTTTTCACACTTCCGGAACACAAATTTGATAAAAAAAAATAAATATTGTTATTGAAATTTTTCTGAAAAAAAACAACAAAAATGAGATGAAAAGAATTCAGACACCTTGAACCTGAACTCTAAATTATGGTAACATAAAATATAATTTAATTTCTTTAAATGATTTATTGTTTGGTATCATAAATTATTAATACGCGACATTAAATTTAATATCGCGATAAATTAGTCTATTATTATTTTTCTATATTTTTAACACTCCCTTTTCCCTTGGGCTATCTGTCATCCATTTTTGATAAAATACCGAATATCGAAAAAAAAATTATATAAAAAATATTTTATATTATTTTCTTTTTTTTTTGGACGAAATATATAAAAAAGATCTATAGAAAATCAAATAAAATGCGAAAGAAAATCGATAACTTTTTTCGAACAAAAGAAAAATAAAATGTTAGAGATTTATGAACTTTTTTTCTTCTCTCTCTCTCTCTCATCTCGATATTTTAGAATAACAAATAAAAACCTCACATTTTATTACCCCCCCCTCTTTATTCCCCTTTTTCTTCCCAGATCACGTGACATGAACAACTAATTTTTTTTAAAAAAATACATATGTAAGTAACTTATTTAGATCTTCCCGATAGAGATTGTTAAAGTAAAAATATATTATAATTCATATTTTGAAGCTATTGTGTTATTTTTTTTTATCGTTTTTTTTAATACTTCCCTCCCACACACAATACAATCATTTACATAAATGATTCCATTTAAATAAATCGCGAAATTATAATTTAAATATACAAAATCGCAAAACGTTCCTTTTTTTCTAAAAAAAGAAACAAAATGTGGACAGGGATTATTATTATTTTGTGTTATAATCACAAAAATTCGTGACAAATTTTTGATTTTTTTTAACGTCCAAAAATTTTAGAAATATTTTAAACAAATGAGCACCTTATTTTATTTGCCCAAATATCGTAAATTCTAAACTAATAGTTAACCCCTCATTTATAGGAATTCGCACGATTCGGTAAAACGCTAAATCCGGGGATTCCAGAGGGCCTTAAGAACCGTTAAACCGGTATTAACCGCTCCTGAACAGTAAAAAAAATTATCCGACCCTCTAAAAAAATGCCTGTTCAACGATTTAAACTTTTTGATACTTTAATAATGCGCACAAATTGAGCGAGCGTTAGCGTTTTGCCATAATTTTTTTTAATTTAAAAAAAAATGCAACGCGTTCCTTGTTTAAAATTGAGGCTACCTTTTTATTAATATCTTCGATTTAAAATTTTAATTAAGTTCTAAAAAAAGGATTTGTCTTTGAAAATCTTATTATCGTCTGCCTTTTTGTTTCCTTAATTTTTAAATATTCCTTTATAAGATATCAAAATTCAGAATTAAAAAAAGTAATCTGCTCACGTTTGTTTAAATGGTTGCTAAAGCCAAACTGTATTTTAACCATTTTACATGATGCCATTTTTGTTGGCTTTTGCAACGCAATGTTTATAACGCTCAATTTGTGCGCACTATAACTCTTTTTATATATCGCTATTTGACGATATAGAAGTGCCTCAAGTTTATTTTGAGTGACAAGAGAATCTTGAAAATATTTTAATCGTATACTCCTCAATACTATTTTTTTTTGTTTTAGAGAGAAGTGTGATAAAATTTTAATCTTTGTGCATAATTCTAATACGCTTGTATGCGAAAAGGTCTAAACCAGTTTGTAAAGGTTCAAACCTACACCGAACCGATATTTTTTCAGAAGGGGAACTTATGTTTTAAATTATACTGATGGATGGGTGATATGTGTAGTATTCAAGATCCGGGTAGATCCGGCGGTACCGATGGAAAATTAGATACGTTTCATTCTTTTATGAATTGTCGATAACTAACATACTTGACCTCATTTTACTCTGCTAATTATTTTAGGGACACTGCCGGCCAAGAGCGGTTTCACACAATAACGACGTCATATTATCGGGGTGCCATGGGTATCATGCTCGTTTACGATATTACACAACCAAAAACTTTCGAAAACATCGCCAAATGGCTACGGAATATCGACGAGGTAAAAAAAAAAACCTTACGCCATTTTATTTTTGAATTTTGTGCGCGATCGCGTGATCAGACGATAATTTCTAGATATTAAAGATGTGATCTATTGTTAAAGATTAGGCCTGTTCTAAAACAAATAAAATAACGAATTATTCATAATCGCTTCTTTTAAACAAAATGAATAGGTTTATATAATACTCGTCGTCTTAGGTTTGACGATTATGCCAATCATTAATTAAGATCAACCAAACTGGTTCACACCTTCACAATCCGAAATACTTTTCAAAAAAAAAGTAGTCAGCTGCTTTCAAATCAAGTTAAGAAACTAAATGAAATCTAGTTATATTGTTGATCTATTTCTATGCGGTTGGCCACTTTTTTGACATTTTTTTCGGATTGTTGGCGTGATACCTCTATTACCAAGAATAGTTTTTAAAAATTTGGCATTACCCCTTTATAAAAAAAGCATGCTAACGAAGATGTCGAAAAGATGCTGCTAGGAAACAAATGTGATATGGAGGATAAACGGTTAGTCGCCAAGGAACGAGGAGAAAAGGTTTTGTTCTTAAATAAATTTAATTTTAAAAACTCTAATTGTAACTGATACCAGTGGCCAAAAGGCTAATGAAAATGCACGCTAAGTGTGCGCTGTTTTTTCATGATTTTCATAAGTTACCAAGCACACCCAAAAACGTCATATGTTTATTTTTAAATAAATATTTAAACTTACGAATGTAAATGCTCTCGTTTTATAATTTTTTAATTTGAAAAACTGAACAATTATCTTAACATTCAATATGGATACTCAATTTATATTAAAAGTATATTGTATTTAAGATACTTAGTTACAATAATAATTTTATAATTAAAATATAATAAAACCAGTTAATCCTGTTATTTCTCAATTTGTTAAGAATTTTCATCTGAAGGTGGTTAATATTATCCTTGAAAATTAGATATTAGTCAGTACTTTGATAGCCAAGAATTTTTACAATTTATATGTTTTCTATTTAATTTAAATGTGTTTGATAAAGTAGATGTGTAATTATTTTATTTTTAAGTTAATATGTAAAATTATGAAATGGCCTTGAAATATCACTTATATCTAGCAAATTCACATTTTCATTGAAGGCAACATTTCATCATTTTTACTACTTGTAAATATTCCATGACACTTTGCTTATTCAATTGGTTCTGCATTTATTAGTATTTTTTATTCAATACAATTTATATTAAAAAAAATACTACAATTTTGGTATACATATGACAGGTCTGTTATTTGCAAGATTAGCCTGCCAAGGCTGGACCTTCCCTATGTCCCGCCCACCCTATTTCTAATTCTTTACTAAAATTGTCAGGCCCAGTCTGGTTCTTTTAAAATACAAGTTCTAATCCAAAATATATGTAGTTGAACATACAAATAAACACTATTTATAATATTGGGAGTGATTAAATTAAAAATACTATCCCTTATTTACTGTCATCTCTATTAATTCAAGATTATGATATAAATATTAGCAAAAAAACCTAATAATAATGTATATTAATTTTTACCCAGCCCATTAATTTTTTTACCCAGTCCAGACCAAATAAATTTTTTAAGACGTTGCTCAGCCTGACCTATTGCACTCTAATATGATTTTTTTTAAAAATCTTTTATCATGCTGGATTGTTATGCATGAATATCAAAGCAATTTTGATTAAGATGAAGTAACTTCTACAAGTCAAATAAATTTAGAGGTAACAATATTTTTAAAAATATATTTACAATTGATTTGAAATCATATTTTTTTATGAGGTTTTAACCTAAAATTTTTATCTGTCTATATATTCTACAAACTATTTCATTAGTTTGGGGCTCAATTTGAATCATTTGATGATTTACAGTAAGCTCTAAATAGATACGAAAATATAGTTTTTACCAGTTACCATATAACAACATGTATGAAGCTTGCTAATTTTGATAAAAAAATAATTCAAACAATACATTATAAATATATACGTTTTGTCTGCATCCGTGGTGAAAAAAAATTTAAAAGTCGCGGAAAAGGAAGACTTACACAAACATTGCCAAAAAAATTGGCCAAACAGTTTTTCAGTGAAGCACATAATAAAAGGAGATAGACATATGCTCAAGGTTACTAAAATGAACACTGGTCAAAATCATGATTTTGGTATATATTTTTTTATCAAATATAATACCATTTTTTATTTATTAATTTAGATTCTAATATTTTCAAACTCTTACGTAAACAACGTAAAATGGCCGTAGGTTATTATTAAATGCTTAGAATATGATGCCTCAATTCCTAAAATAAAATATGACCTCCAAAAAAGGGGGATTTACGCTACAAATCGTGATTTATATAAATAAAAAAGAAAACGCTATATTAACCAGGGGGCTCTGAGCTCTTGGATGTTATCAACTTATTAAAAAAACAAAACCCTAATAATATTGTCAAAATAGTCACTGAAAACAACAGCCCTCAGGTGATATTTTACCAAACTCCAAATATGAGGGAATATTTTAATGAATTTCCAGAGTAATAATCTCTCTGCCATCTTGGGTCACATAAATTTTAATCAAATAGATCTATACAATTAATTCAATTTTCTATATTCAAAAATATGTCTGCATGGGTATTAAAATAAATTCCGAATATCCACAGCTGAAATTTGAATCTGATACTGTTAACGTTGAATCTCCTTCATCTTGGGATGTTGAAAATTTTAGCTGATCAAATATTCTTTTAAAAGCAGCATTAGTCAATATTTTTTGATATTTGGATTCTTCACTATTTTGAGGATAACTTATTGTAGTCCATTTTTTTAGGATTCATAATTATTATTATGATTCTTTTCCTTTTAAATTTTTGAAAAAATTTGAATATTTTTGTATCAGGGTTCATCCTATTCATACTCTCCATCCTATTATTCGTGTAAATAAAAACATTTATTGTTTTACATCATCATGCATAAGACCATTCATGTCGAATGGTATGCCAATTATTATTAAAATAATCTTCCACACTTGGAAAAAAATAATCACTTCCGTTTTTGAGTAAATCATTTTTTTCAATAGATTTAGAACAACATTTTGAGTAGAATTTATATTTCTCTGATGAATGCTTGTTGTTACATGGAAAAAGCAATTTTGATTTAGATGAAGAAACTTCTACAAGTCAAATAACTTTAGAGGTTACAATATTTTTAAAATCATATTTTTTTAATAAGGTTATCTGTCTATATTGTCTATAATCCATTTCATTGATGCTCGTATAAATCTCTACTGATATGAAAATTTAGTTTTTACCAATTACCATATAGCAACATGTACCAAGCTTGCTAATTTTGATGAAAAAATAATTCAAACAATACATTACAAATATATAAGTTATGTTTGTATCCATGGAGGAAGAAAGTTTAAAAGTCGCGTGGGATAGGAAAACGACTCACTCAAACTTTACAATTAAATTGCCCAAACAGCATTACAATAAAGCACACAATAATAGGAGATCTGCATAGGTTTGAGGTTTCAAAAATGAATAGTGGGCAGTGGCGTAGCCAGGATTGATCCATTGGGGGGGGAAATTTTTTGGGGGCTTAGCCCCCAAACCTCCTTATCAAAATTTGCCAATATTTTGTGTATTATACCCAGGCCAGCATAAATATTAAAAAATATTAGTAAAATTTTTGCCAAATTTAGAATGACTGAAAGCATTATTTTGAAAATGTTATCAGTGTTTAGTAAATTATATATTAATTCAATCTATTCGATGTAAAAAAATCTGCCTCCCCCAAACCTTCCAATTTTATGATCAACTCAATATATCTTATTCTATGTTAAAAATAATTATTTTAATTAAATTTTTGCATATAACAATATTTTGCAGAGATTTTATTTATTATTAACTTTATTTATTTAACTATGTATTTATTTTAATAATATATAAAAAAATAAATTTCAAAATATATAAATTTTATACAGATTATTATATTAAAAATTGAATGTAAATAACTATATTTAAAAAAAATAAAATTGCAATAAAATATGTAATTCTTGCTAAAAAAATACAATTTAACAATTTTATTTAGTATAAACCCTTTATTTAACTATGTGTTTATTTTATATACAAAAAATAAATTTCAAAATTAGAAATTTTATACAGATTACTATTTTAAAAATTGATTGTAAATATTTATATTTTAAAAAAATAAAATTACAATAAAATATAAGTAATTCTTGTATGCAATTTAAAAAAATATAATTTAATAGTTATATTTAATACAAATGAGTATATTATATAAATAATTCTTATTGTAGGTGCAATACTATTATTAAATATAGTATAAAAATATCATGACTAAAAATTCATTATAATTAAGTTTTACATATAAAAATTTTATGACTAAGAAAATATTACAATTATATGATTTGAATTTATAAAGAGAGGTCTACTTTTCTCTGAGATTTGGCTAATTCATCTAGAATCCAATTTTTATCTAGAATAATCTCCTTATAAATATTTAATAGGGCTAATCCATTTAAACGGTTTTCACCAGTGCTATTTCTTAAATAGGTTTTTAACCTTTTCAAAGTTGAAAAAGACCATTCATTAGTGCAGGTACTAATCGGTAAAGTAGCTAAAATAAAAAACAATGTTTTGATATTGGGCAGGGAATCTAAAGTGCAATTACACATGGAAAGGGCCTGCAAAGTATTTTTTGGTCTCAAAGAGTACTCTATTCTGCCAAGATTTTTATACCAAAATTCGACATCACAAAGTAACTTATCATACGACTCTAATAAATCATCAGAATAAAGCTCTGAGATGTTCTTAATATCCTCTCGCGTTTCAAGTGTAATCAACAATTCAGACTCAACCGGCAAAAGAAAATAAAAGCTTTTAAAAATAAAATTGTGACTTATAAATCTTTCCTTTAATTGAAATAAAAATGTATCAATAAGTGGAATAAAAATGTTAATTTTATAAAAATCCTCAATCGTAGATGCATCAATATTTGAGCGATTGGATTGTCTAGAAACTACTCTAGATTTAAAAATTTCAATCCCAAACATATTAGCGATCTCCTTTACTTTCTCATATATTTCGTGAAATTTTTCGTCCACATTATCTCTGATATTTGTTAATATTTCAACAATATCCTTTGCCCTATTCATAACCTCCCTTAAATCCAAATCAATTTTTTGTAACATTTTGCTAAAATCATATGTATAATTAAATAAAAAATAAACACATTGAATTGAAATTAAAAATTGAGGCTTCGTAATAGCCTGTAAAAGATTTTCCGCATCTGCGGAATCTTTTTCTTTGCGTAATATGTATGATTCCAGTGCCGCAAAAATAACCTCATATAACTCGATGAAAACCTTCACCGATTGTTGTCTTTCAATGAATCTTGTGGGACAAAATCTTTTTAATTTTTTTTTGAATTTTTGAATCAATTTCATCGAACGTTTGGGTAAAAATCTCCCTCTTTTTGGGTGGGGTAAAGATGTCACAAACCGACGATATTGTTTCTAAATTTTGAAAAATATATAAAAATTATATAAAGATATCTATAATACATAATAAAATCTAATAAATTTCAATTAAATCAAAATCTTTTTACGTAAACTGTTCCGGATGTCTCTAATTTCACATGCCTCAGTTATCATCAAATTCAGGCAATGTGAACTGCAGTGAACATAAAGAGCTGTGCTATAAAGCTCTCTAATTCTTGACTGGACAGTTTTAACATGGCCACTCATCGAGGGAGCTCCATCGTACCCTTGGCCTCTCAGTAGATTTAAATTTAAATCCAGGTTTTGAAGTGATTTAATAATTTGATTAGCTATCGTTTCTGACTTAGTGTCAGGTAATTCAATAAATTGAACAAATAGTTCCTTCATTTTATAATTACCTGATTCCATATCAATAAACCTTATTGCTATGGATAGTTGTTCAATATTACCAATATCGGAAGTTTCATCCGCCAAAACACTAAAAAATGGTGATGCTTTGACTTTTGAAGAAACTTCCTTTAATATAAACTGATTGCATATTGATATTATTTCATTTTGAATAGTGGGACTTAGGTAAGTAGCATTTTTAGAGGAGCTTTCAAAAAGCTTTAGGTAGTTGTCATTATTATTTCATAAAAATTTCAATAATTCCTTGAAATTTCCTTCATTGTGAGAAGGGGATGTAAGTGTTAGGGGGCCAGGAGATATCCTATGAGCTCTTAACGCCAAGCCCTGCCTCCCTAACCAAATGATAGCATCAATAATTATAATTATTCTTGATCGATTTTTTGTAACAATATCAAAATTTTTTTTATTCAATACATTGGATATTGATATCTTTTGATTCATTGAGATTTCTTTTAAAGAATCCATTATCTCACAGGAATTAAGATGATATTTATTTTTGATGATAATTAAAATTTTCGAGCGCATCTTTCCATCTTGTGTACACCTGACTTACCAATGTTTTGAGTTTTTGTAACCCATTTCCAGCATATCTTGGGGAAAATATGACGCAAACTTTACAAAATGCGCCCTTTTCATCGGCTGAGTAAGCAAGCCACTTATATTTGTTAAGCCAGGATGCTTGAAAGGTTAAATTTCTTTTGCCCAAGGGCAATGGAAATTTATAACATTTGTCAGGTATCCAAATATTTTCAACAGCTAACATATTTTCCCCAAGATATGCTGGAAATGGGTTACAAAAACTCAAAACATTGGTAAGTCAGGTGTACACAAGATGGAAAGATGCGTTCGAAAATTTTAATTATCATCAAAAAAATAAATATCATCTTAATTCCTGTGAGATAATGGATTCTTTAACCCTTTAGGTTCCCTCATAAAATTAATATGATGCAACACGATATTTACTAATTTTTTTATTGATTCTAATATAATATAATATAAAACACACAAAAAAAGTTTTTTAAATTCAAAATGGCGGCTCTCCCTGGTGGTTTTAAATTCATATCATTGACACCTTATGGAAACTTTCAAAACAATTTCTATTTTTATTTAGACAGAGTGGTACGTTGCATGATTTGCACGACCACCTTGTTCTTCTGGGATTTAACTTTGTACTACAGAAGGTACACCTTCGTGAGGTTCCTGCCTGAGGTTGATGAGCTGAATTTTTTAGTCTAATTTCTGGAAGGATATAAGGTTTATTATTTTTTCTTTGCATTGATATATAATTATTATAATTATGAATATTATCATCCCTATTAACATTTTTACAGTATGCCAATTCGCTAGCAATTATTTGTCTTCGGAATTCTTTCGATGAGAGTTTATTATCTGTAAGAATATTGTATATTATGAATGAATTGATAATCGCCGCATCTATCAGCCAAAAGAATATTGGTAGCCACCATTTTCGCCACTTTCGCGAAATTTCATATAAAGACTTTAAATGGTCGAAATGGTCAATAGACCCCATATATTTATTATACATCTTTATCATTATTGGACATTTTACGTCAAAAACTTCCCCTTTTTTATTTTTTCTCTTCACAGTATCCACTGATCTCGGATCAATATAATTGGACATTATAAATACGTCACGATTATCTCGCCATTTAATTATACTTATATTATTTTTGTCACTTCTCCAGTCAAACTCACCTCTTTTTAATTTTGTTTCCATATTCTTTATGGGCAAGTATCTCCTATTTTTGTTTAGTGTTCCGCTAGCATATATACCTTTCTTTTTTAAATCGGCCATTAGAGTATAACTCGTAAAATAATTATCGAAAAATATTTTATGATTTTGAAGTCCTTCACAAAACTTTGTTACAACATTATAACCAAGATTACTTTCAACCTCTTTATTTTTCCCAACATAGATATTAAAATCATTCATATATCCTGAATTATCGCATCTCATCCAAACCTAAAAATATAGTTTAGCCGAAATAAATAATGACAAAATTTACACATTACCTTGAAACCGCGTTTCGTGGGTTTCTTAGGCATGTATTGCCTAAATCCTATACGGCCTTTGAACCTAATCATTCCTTCGTCAATTGCTTGATATTCCGAGGGAAGAAAATATTTCAAGCAAGAGGAACGGATATTATCAATGAATGGTCTTATTTTGTATAATTTATCATAATTTTCATCATTTCTCGATGGTTCTAAGATATTGTCATTTATATGGATGTGGGCCATAAGCCAAATAAAACGTTTTACTTTCATTATGGATGAAACAAAATTGTCATGGAATTCTGGTTTAGAACTCCAATAATCTTTGTAATTTGCCATAGTTTTAATTCCAAAGAGTATATGAAGACATAAAAATTTTCTTATTTCTGTAGGATTAGTTGGTTGATATTTAATATTTTTTTGTTGGGCATATAAATTGGTATTGAATGTAATTGTATTTATTAGAGAATCATTAATAAATTTCTTATATATATCTGATGGATACAATGGGTCCGTTTTTAAAGATGATATTGGACCTGATATTTTATCAAATTCTAATGCTGGTTGTGAAGAATATTTCTTGGACCAGATAGGATTATTATGGTTTGTAGCAGATTGATCATACGCATCTTGTTCAGAATTGTCATCAATTTCAATTTGATAAGGTGTATCCGATTCATAATCATCACTATCAATTTGGTAACGTGTATCCGATTCATAATCATCTTCGGAATCAGTGGATGAGTTGTCTAACGAAGAACCTTCAGATGGAATGTCCAGATAATCATCCATATATATAACAAGCTAAAATTATTGCGAAATGAGTTGGCAAAATTTATCAATTATTTAAAAAAATAAATATTAAAAATATTGTTGTTAAGTGGCAGTGGTTAGTTTAATATACCACATTAAAAAGATCAAAATAATATATAAATATTATTTATTTGAGCAAAAATAAATATTAGAAAGATAGATAAAATAGTGAGGAATATATATATTTAAAAATATTTGATAAATATACTTACTTATAATTAAAATTTGAATTTTAAGAAAAATCACCGTAAAAAACGTATTTTGAAATAAAGGCGCGAAAAAAAAAATTAAAAAATAACTCCTCCACAAACATATGAAAAAGAATATCTTTTAATATATATTCGTGGTGGTTTCATTTTATATGATCAACTCCTTTAGAAGATATAAAGGTTAAAAGGTGGTTTTATATTTGCACTACCGCGACCGAAAGGGTTAAAAGAAATCTCAATGAATCAAAAGATATCAATATCCAATGTATTGAATAAAAAAAATTTTGATATTGTTACAAAAAATCGATCAAGAATAATTATAATTATTGATGCTATCATTTGGTTAGGGAGGCAGGGCTTGGCGTTAAGAGCTCATAGGATATCTCCTGGCCCCCTAACACTTACATCCCCTTCTCACAATGAAGGAAATTTCAAGGAATTATTGAAATTTTTATGAAATAATAATGACAACTACCTAAAGCTTTTTGAAAGCTCCTCTAAAAATGCTACTTACCTAAGTCCCACTATTCAAAATGAAATAATATCAATATGCAATCAGTTTATATTAAAGGAAGTTTCTTCAAAAGTCAAAGCATCACCATTTTTTAGTGTTTTGGCGGATGAAACTTCCGATATTGGTAATATTGAACAACTATCCATAGCAATAAGGTTTATTGATATGGAATCAGGTAATTATAAAATGAAGGAACTATTTGTTCAATTTATTGAATTACCTGACACTAAGTCAGAAACGATAGCTAATCAAATTATTAAATCACTTCAAAACCTGGATTTAAATTTAAATCTACTGAGAGGCCAAGGGTACGATGGAGCTCCCTCGATGAGTGGCCATGTTAAAACTGTCCAGTCAAGAATTAGAGAGCTTTATAGCACAGCTCTTTATGTTCACTGCAGTTCACATTGCCTGAATTTGATGATAACTGAGGCATGTGAAATTAGAGACATCCGGAACAGTTTACGTAAAAAGATTTTGATTTAATTGAAATTTATTAGATTTTATTATGTATTATAGATATCTTTATATAATTTTTATATATTTTTCAAAATTTAGAAACAATATCGTCGGTTTGTGACATCTTTACCCCACCCAAAAAGAGGGAGATTTTTACCCAAACGTTCGATGAAATTGATTCAAAAATTCAAAAAAAATTAAAAAGATTTTGTCCCACAAGATTCATTGAAAGACAACAATCGGTGAAGGTTTTCATCGAGTTATATGAGGTTATTTTTGCGGCACTGGAATCATACATATTACGCAAAGAAAAAGATTCCGCAGATGCGGAAAATCTTTTACAGGCTATTACGAAGCCTCAATTTTTAATTTCAATTCAATGTGTTTATTTTTTATTTAATTATACATATGATTTTAGCAAAATGTTACAAAAAATTGATTTGGATTTAAGGGAGGTTATGAATAGGGCAAAGGATATTGTTGAAATATTAACAAATATCAGAGATAATGTGGACGAAAAATTTCACGAAATATATGAGAAAGTAAAGGAGATCGCTAATATGTTTGGGATTGAAATTTTTAAATCTAGAGTAGTTTCTAGACAATCCAATCGCTCAAATATTGATGCATCTACGATTGAGGATTTTTATAAAATTAACATTTTTATTCCACTTATTGATACATTTTTATTTCAATTAAAGGAAAGATTTATAAGTCACAATTTTATTTTTAAAAGCTTTTATTTTCTTTTGCCGGTTGAGTCTGAATTGTTGATTACACTTGAAACGCGAGAGGATATTAAGAACATCTCAGAGCTTTATTCTGATGATTTATTAGAGTCGTATGATAAGTTACTTTGTGATGTCGAATTTTGGTATAAAAATCTTGGCAGAATAGAGTACTCTTTGAGACCAAAAAATACTTTGCAGGCCCTTTCCATGTGTAATTGCACTTTAGATTCCCTGCCCAATATCAAAACATTGTTTTTTATTTTAGCTACTTTACCGATTAGTACCTGCACTAATGAAAGGTCTTTTTCAACTTTGAAAAGGTTAAAAACCTATTTAAGAAATAGCACTGGTGAAAACCGTTTAAATGGATTAGCCCTATTAAATATTTATAAGGAGATTATTCTAGATAAAAATTGGATTCTAGATGAATTAGCCAAATCTCAGAGAAAAGTAGACCTCTCTTTATAAATTCAAATCATATAATTGTAATATTTTTTTAGTCATAAAATTTTTATATGTAAAACTTAATTATAATGAATTTTTAGTCATGATATTTTTATACTATATTTAATAATAGTATTGCACCTACAATAAGAATTATTTATATAATATACTCATTTGTATTAAATATAACTATTAAATTATATTTTTTAAATTGCATACAAGAATTACTTATATTTTATTGTAATTTTATTTTTTAAAATATAAATATTTACAATCAATTTTTAAAATAGTAATCTGTATAAAATTTCTAATTTTGAAATTTATATTTTGTATATAAAATAAACACATAGTTAAATAAAGGGTTTATACTAAATAAAATTGTTAAATTGTATTTTTTTAGCAAGAATTACATATTTTATTGCAATTTTATTTTTTTTAAAATATAGTTATTTACATTCAATTTTTAATATAATAATCTGTATAAAATTTATATATTTTGAAATTTATTTTTTTATATATTATTAAAATAAATACATAGTTAAATAAATAAAGTTAATAATAAATAAAATCTCTGCAAAATATTGTTATATGCAAAAATTTAATTAAAATAATTATTTTTAACATAGAATAAGATATATTGAGTTGATCATAAAATTGGAAGGTTTGGGGGAGGCAGATTTTTTTTACATCGAATAGATTGAATTAATATATAATTTACTAAACACTGATAACATTTTCAAAATAATGCTTTCAGTCATTCTAAATTTGGCAAAAATTTTACTAATATTTTTTAATATTTATGCTGGCCTGGGCATAATACACAAAATATTGGCAAATTTTGATAAGGAGGTTTGGGGGCGAAGCCCCCAAAAAATTTTTTACCCCCCATGGATCAATCCTGGCTACGCCACTGCCCACTATTCATTTTTGAGACCTCAAACCTATGCAGATCTCCTATTATTGTGTGCTTTATTGTAATGCTGTTTGGGCAATTTAATTGTAAAGTTTGAGTGAGTCGTTTTCCTATCCCACGCGACTTTTAAACTTTCTTCCTCCATGGATACAAACATAACTTATATATTTGTAATGTATTGTTTGAATTATTTTTTCATCAAAATTAGCAAGCTTGGTACATGTTGCTATATGGTAATTGGTAAAAACTAAATTTTCATATCTATTTATAGCTTGCTGCAAATCATCAAATGATCCCAGGGGGTTCACTTGTTGAATACCTTCAGAAGAGATTTATACGAGCATCAATGAAATGGATTATAGAAAATATAGACAGATAACCTTATTAAAAAAATATGATTTTAAAAATATTGTAACCTCTAAAGTTATTTGACTTGTAGAAGTTTCTTCATCTAAATCAAAATTGCTTTGATATTCATCCATTAATTCTAGTATGATATAAGATTTTTTTAAAAAATATTCATATTAGATAGACCAGTCTGAGCGATATATTAAAAAATTTATTTGGCCTGAGGTGAGTAAAAAAAAATTTAATATATATTATTATTTGGTTTTTTTTGCTAATATATCATAATCTTGAATTAATAGAGATGACATTAAATAAGGCATAGTATTTTTAATTTAATCACTCCAATATTATAAATAGTTATATTTGTTCAACTACATATATTTTGGATTAGGGCTTGTATTCAAAAAGAACCAAGGTGGGCGGGACCTAGGTTAAGTTCCAGCCAGGCTTTAAGTTTTGAAATTTGAAGATCTGTAATTTATGTTTTTTTTAAATTATCTATATCGAAATTAGGATTTCTTAAATATAAATTGTATTGAATAAAAAATACTAACAAATGCAGAAACAATTGAAAAAGCAAAGTGTCATAGAATATTTACAAGTAGTAAAAATGATTGAAATGTTGCCTTCAATGAAAATGTGAATTTTCTAGATATAATTGACATTTCAAGGTCATTCATTTTTTCTATATTAATTTAAAAATATAACTCCATATTTACTTTCATCAAAGCATATTTTTATAATTTAAATAGATAACATATAAATTGATAAAAAATACTTGGCTATCAAAGTACTGGCTAATATCTAATTTTCAAGAATAATATTAACCACCTTCAGATGAAAATTCTTAACAAATTGAGAAATATAAGGAATAACCTGTTTTATTGAATTTTAAATATAAAATCATTATTGTAATTAAGTACATAAGTACAATATACTTTTAATATAAATTGAGTATACATATTGAATGTTCAAAATAAAAAAATTATAATAAGCAAGAGCATTTACATTCGAAGTTATAAAAATAAACATATGACATTTTTGGCCTGCTTGATAATTTATGAAAATGATAGATATTTTTCCCTATTTCTCTACATCAAGAGAGCTCTAATTATTTTTATAATTTCCTCCTCACTATTATATTATTTACCCAAGGGAAAGCTTGAAAATATATAAAAATGATAATATTCATTAATTAGATCTGTATCCCCCCCTCTATTAATTACTAATATATTATTTTTCGTATCAATCAATAGATTGTTATGATATCGGTATCAGTCAATCTCTGCAGCTAGCACTCACGTGACTTGAATATTTTTTAATTAGAGAGATCTTGGCTAGTTCTTTTAATATCCTCTTAAAATTTGGAATACCAAATCTGGCCGGGTTAGATAAAATTTGATCCGGTGAATCTATTATTATTAATAATACAATCCATAATTTTTATTAAAAAAAGTTGATACATTTGCCAAATAATTATTTCATGATTAATTTACGTTTTGTTTCTAATTTTTTTCTCTTCTTCTTCAAAATAACGCTTACAAGATTGCTCACGCCCATTCTATCAAGTTCTTTGAGACGAGTGCCAAAGCTAACGTAAACATTGAAAAATCATTCACCGAACTCGCCCAATCTATATTGAACAAAGTATATTTGTTTTATATATGTATATATTTTTTAGGGGGGATGTTAGCATTTACAAAAAAATTTTTTAGGTATAATGTGCTATATTGGTTTTAAAAGGTGCTGTCGTGGGTAACTTTTTTTGCTTCTTTTACCTTATATAATGCTATGGAGAGCTTACCAAAGTGTTATTTATATTTAAAATTAATTAGTTTTTGAATTTTGGTTTATATATGACTTGAAAGATTAACAAACCGTTTTGAAAGCAACCACAAAATTTGATTTAAAACTATTTATTGATGTTTCCCTTTTTTTAAATTTTAAAATTAGGTATTTATTCACTTTGAGAAAGTGGCATACGCCATTGACAAAATTATTTAAATATTTATTGATATATATATATTTATTAATAGATATCATCTAAAGAAAACATCGAAACAATTGGCGGACCTGGTTCCATACAAATGAACCCAAATCAGAGAAATAGTGGCTTTAAATGTTGTTAAATTCACTATTTATTTTCCTTATTTTTTTTTGGTTAAAAAAAACAAAAATAGCTTTATATATTTACTCGCGAACTAACTTGGTTATATATATTTTTTTTATTTCTCCCCAAAACACTCATAAATCCTCTCGAATATATTTGAAGATAAAAAATAACCTAAATACCAAAACTTTGTTAGTTAGTTACCATTAAATTTTTTTTTTCAGATACAATATTATAACAAATCCGTAGATTATGTTGTTAAAGAGAAACGACGACCACTGCTATATAAAATTACAGGAAAAAAATATATATTGCTTTTAACTTCCACCCCACCCCCCCCCCCCCCATCATCATTTATATAAGTCAATACATGTAATTTTTTTTTAATATCAGAGACAAAAAGACATCTAATGTTTATAAAATATTATCGACATCATTTTTATAATTGTATAAAAAATTTTTTTATAAATTCTCGCTTTTTTTTATGTTTGACAAGAAATTAATATAATCTTATCTTATTTTTCTTCTACTTAAGTCAAAGAAATTAGGAAAACAAAAAAAATAAACCAATAAAGTTAAAAAATTACTCAGTTTTAAATTGGTAAACAAATAGTAAGAAATGAAGAATAAACGTTACTTAATGGTAGATTACTTTAGCGGAAGGATCTTTTATGTTTTAGGCTAAGGACATACCAAGGCACTGGAGCGTAGCAAGTCAAACATCGAGCCCTGTATAGAAATATTTCGAAAAATATGGATGTTTTAAACGTTTGCATTATTAAAAATGTTATCATCGGCTTACTTTGTATTTATTCTGAATAATTTCCAAGAGGTGTGCATACATATAACATAACTACCCTGTAAAATTTCTAACTATTTTATCGTTTTAATATAATTTTTTATATTGACTAGCATTTTCTTAAACGCGAGTTGGCACGGATATGGTCTTAGCCTTAATGAATTAATATTTAAAAAATCAATATATCGTTACCAGAGAATTGGAATATCCCATCTCCACTTTTTGCAATTTTAAAGGAGAGCAATTTTAAAAATTAAGTTTCTGATGTTTTCAATAGGATGGTTAACCTTATGTTGGCTATAATTTAACTTATATAAATATTTAGGATATTTTTTATGCGAATATAATCATAAAAAATTGTATTTATGTAAAGTCATTTTTGACAAATAGTGAATATGGAATAACCTAATCCTCAGACCCAGGAAATACTGGTTTTAAATGGAAATGTTTAAACTTTATTTCATCATAACCTTCACACGTATAATAGAACTAAATCATTTAAATTGATCTATAAGCGATATGCTAAGGCTTCTAACGAGAATATTCCCTATTCTAATTAGATGTGAGTAATAATAAATTTAATTTATTCTAATTTAACGTTCAATATTCACTTCACTAATATTGTCGAACAATATTTGATATTATTTATCAAGAAACAAATAACAATTTAAGTATTTCATATCTGTACATGATACGTACCTACGAATTCGTCAATTAACAGAAACCGTTATATGCTAAACAAAAACTATAACGGGAATTTTAATGCGATTAAGATCAATTACGCATAAATATTGAAGTCTTTTTCGCCGATTGAAAAAATTTTTGAATCTTTTAATTCTATGATCTTTATAGATACTATCTATTCTTTTTGGTTTCCTTAATTGATATGTAACTATTACTTAATATAATTACTTTAATATTTCATAGAATGTATATATATCTTTTTAAAAAATGGTTTTAATAATTTTATTTTTAATAAAGTTATATTTTCTAAAATTTGATAAGAATCTGAATCTCATATAGACGTATAATTTTTTTCCAAAATTGGATATTTATTTTATCAAATTATGAAAATTAAAACCATATAAAAAATTTATCCATTTACCTAATTTAATTTAAAAATTGATTAAAATGTTAATAATAATAAAAAATTTTGTTTAAAATAATACGGAATAAAAAATGATTAACACCATCTAGCGTAATTAATTGCGTATATTTTATTTATTCCCTTTATTTTTGCAATAGATTAAATCGTTTAAAAATAAAATATATTAAAAATAGAATTATAAAGGCTTGAATGGAATAAAAAATGATTAACACCATCTAGCGTAATTAATTGCGTATATTTTATTTATTCCCTTTATTTTTGCAATAGATTAAATCGTTTAAAAATAAAATATATTAAAAATAGAATTATAAAGGCTTGAATGTTTAATGTAGAATGGTTATTAGAATGTTCGCACAGGATGTAATATAGGCTAATGAAAGCGAATTTATAAGGCTTGAATATTTAATCTAGAATGGTTGTTATAGTAATTTGGTATTTTATTTATATAAGAAATACAAGTTATTATCATATAAGAAAAACAAGTGATTAAATTTTTATATATTCTGTTGCCTTAAGATATATAACTGAACTTTTAAATATATATTATTTAAGTATATAATAGTTTAACTGACATTTTAAATATAAATCATTTTAGTAAGTAATAAAATAATAGCGCACATGCAACATGCACTCCCTCCAAAAGAAAAATATATTAAAAAAAATGAATATTGAAATTAGGGAATAAACGCTCGCTTGGCATGTGGGAGGTAATTTATATTTATTTTTAAGAATGAAAATATATGTATAAAGGGGAATGGACACCATAGTTGTACATGATAGTTTTTTATGTAATTACCCTTACAAAAGGTATAAATTACACTATCAATAGGTACAATTCACACTATAGGTGGCCAATAAACAATAAATATATTTGGAATAAAATTTATATAATGAAGAAAATTATTTAATCAAAAAAAAAACAATCATTAAAATATATGAAAAAAAGTTTATTATAATAGTGCACATGCAACATGCACTCCCTCCAAAAAAAATATTTAAAAAAAATTAAAGTCTTGAAAACACAACATGGTACAACAAAATGGGGAAAGAAAGAACTCGTTTGGCATGCGAGAGGTAATTTATTTTTAAGAATGAAAATATATGTATCAAGGGGAATTGGCACCATAGTTGTACATGATAGTTTTTTATGTAATTACCCTTACACATTGGCGTACGCAGGGGGGGGGGGACAAATCCCCCCCCCCCCAAAGCCAAAAAATGCAGATGCCGGATATATTTTTCAAAAATATTTTTGTCTAGAGTGTTGTGCAGATTTAATTTAAAACATTTCCATATTTTTTAATTCGTTTGTAAATAAAAATTTTAATTTGTAAAAATTAATAAGAATATATAAATATGTTATTTTAACAACTTTTTACAAGTCAAATAATTTTGTTTTCAAATAAATTAATAAATATGGAAATGTTTTGTATTAAATTTACACAGTACTATATTAATTTATATTTGTTAATATTTATTCCTATCTCATATTAAATATATATTTAATTATATTTATTATCACATTCATCACTAAGTTTATCAATTAATTTCGATTTCAAGTTTTCCGGCGTAATATTATCTTATTATTTTCAAATTTTTAGTGGCGTAATATTTATCTACCATTTTTAAATTTCTAGTCAAATAATAATTATTCTGAAATTGTCCAACAGGGAGAAAGAAATTGCAACCTTATCCTACGAGATAGAGTCTCCGCCATCAAGCAGTAACAGCTTTTATGGAGTTAGAAGAGCCGATTATTTGCTATTACTGACATATCACAATGGCCTTATAGAAATTTTTCCTTAGAAGCAAGAAAATTATTGGATTCAATGCTTATTCCAAATTTTTTTCTCATTAATGTACAACTATTTTATGTATTACTTTTCTAAAACATAATGACTTGATTAAGAAGATGAGAATAGCGAAGAGCATTTTATTAGAACTCAAGGAAATTAGGGCTAATGTTTATGAAGAATTTCATATTTTATATGTTATTGTTAAGTCAAAAGCAGAGCTATACGTGTTTAATATTTGTCTCACTTGACTTGCAGCAAGGCAAGCTCATAGTTAAAACATTAATATAGGATCAGTAGAAGAGTATATCTTAGATACAAATACATTTATAAACCAAATAAATGAATGGTTTTTAATTCATTATGCAGCACTTACCAATCTGCAAATATTATTTCCATAAAAGCCTTCCCAACCTTTTTCAGATGGTGATAGAAAAAAAAATATTTGTTGGATTTTTATCATGAAGATGTTAAAGTATCTTATGATGCTTTATTAGCTGAATAACTATGTTTATAAGATTAACTATGGTTGATACAGTTCCAAAAAATGCTATGGATGCTCTGCATTATTTCAAACACATTTTAGATTATATTCCCAATGTATTAAAAGGGTTTATATATATTAGCAACTCTTCCCAATAGTAAACTAATGAGAGAACATTCTCTTTTTTAAGAAATAACAGAGCCTTGCAGAGGTACCATTTGCAGGGCATGACCCGGATTTTTTTAAAGATTTTTACGGCTAAGCTCAATTTTCAGGCCCGGCCCGGCCTTTTTTAAAATAAAATTTTCAGGCCCGACCCGGATTTTTTAAAAATAAATTATATTTATTTTTGATTTTTATAGCTAATAATAACGATTTCAAATATAGACTGTTAAAAAAAATTTTCAACCCGGCCTAGATGTTTTTTTTAAAAAAATTTAGGCTCAGCCCGGGTGTTTATTTTTAAAAATTTCGGGCCCGGCCATACTGTCCAGCCCGGGGCCAGGCCTGCAGGTCTCTGAAAAACATACCAAGAAGTACAACTTTTGAAAGTAGATTGAAAGGTTTGGATCTTTTGAATATTCATAGGCATTTGACAACAAGCAAGGATGAGATAATTGAAAAATTAGCTCAATCCCAACGAAAATTGGATTTTACATTGTAAATATATAACATACAAAATACAATTATTCCCTAAGCTTTTTGTGTATTAATTTATATTTCTAACATTTAAATTTTTTATACTTTATATATAAATTTTAAAGCTCAAAAAATTCAAATTTCTATTTTGGGTCATTTAAGTGATTCTTTACATATAATTTTTTTATAATTCACATTAATTTAAAATTGTGTATTAGAAATAGTTATTAGTCCTGATAAATTTATGCTTGATATTTTTAAAAAACAATAATATTCATTTAAAAAATTTATTATCCCCCCCCCCCCAGACCAAATTCCTGCGTACGCTACTGCCCTTACAAAAGGTATAAATTACACTATCAATAGGTACAATTCACACTATAGGTAGCCAATAAACAATAAATATATTTGGAATAAAATTTATATAATGAAGAAAATTATTTAATCAAAAAAAAACTATCATTAAAATATATGAAAAAAAATTTATTATAATTCTTGAAAACACAACATGGTACAACAAAATGGGGAAAAAAGAACTCATTTGGCATGCGAGAGGTAATTTATTTTTAAGAATGTAAATATATGTATCAAGGGGAATTGGCACCATAGTTGAACATGATAGTTTTTTATGTAATTACCCTTACAAAAGGTATAAATTACACCATCGATAGGTACAATTAACACTATAGGTGGCCAATAAACAATAAATATATTTGGAATAAAATTAATATAAAAAAAAATTTGGAGATGGTGATAAAAAAAATATAAGAAAAGCGTATTATCATAGAAAACAATTATAATTAAAGAACCATTATGATCTAAATGAATAATTTTGACCTTAGAAAATTTGAATTTAAGATGACATTACTGATCCTCTCAGTGACAATACCCCCACGCCATAATTGATTGATGCTCACTTTGAAAAAAAAAACGGAGTTGCGTAAAGTTAATTCTCAAAATTTAATTCTTTTAAAATTAAGGTAGTAAATCAAAGTCATTGTCATTTCTTTTAAATTTAAGGTTATAATCAAAGTCATTGTCATTGAACAATCAACCGATTCCTATTCGAAGCGATAACGGATTATAAAAAGTTAAAAAATTAACCCTATCTCCTATTTCTTTAGTATTAACAACTTCATCCTTCGTAAGCTTTTCAAACTCTTTCATGGGCAAGGATGACACCGGAGAACCAGTATCTATCATAAAAGAAAAATCATAATTATTAACTTGAAGGTCAATCATAATATCATTAATAAAATTAATTTTATTTCTTGGCCTTAAATTATAAGGGGTTTGTATCATCTCCGTCTTTTTGAAATTGTTGTAATAGCTGTTGTTGTTGTTGCTGCTGCCGTTGTTGTTGTTGCTGCTGCCGTTGTTGTTGTTGTTGCTGCTGTTGTTGTTGTAATTGTTGTTGTTGGTGTTGGCCTTAAAAGTCTGCTTGTTCTCTTTCCAAGACGAAAAGCCTTGCCAATCGGTTCTATCCTCTCTTCTTCAAGAATCTTTCTCTACATATGTTTTATTATTATTGATCTCCAACGATTCAAATTTGACAACAATGTCCTCTATAATATTAATCTCTGTAGTATTTTCTTCAATCAACCTTGTTTTTAGCTTTTCATTACGACAATTCAAGATAAAATGCACCGACAAAAATTCAGGATTGAGCCCCGAACCATACCCTTTCAGTCTATCGAAATACTCTCTGGAAGACTCAAGTCTGTCCGGTTTTGTATTGAACAACTCCAAAATACTCGTGATCTTTACATTGCCCCTATCCTCCACCATATTAAAAATAGAATTATAAAGGCTTGAATGTTTAATGTAGAATGGTTATTAGAATGTTCGCACAGGATGTAATATAGGCTAATGAAAGCGAATTTATAAGGCTTGAATATTTAATCTAGAATGGTTGTTATAGTAATTTGGTATTTTATTTATATAATTTAAAAAGAAAGAAATACAAGTTATTATCATATAAGAAAAACAAGTGATTAAAATAAAAATATATATTTTTTTTATATATACATTCTGTTGCCTTAAGATATATAACTGAACTTTTAAATATATATTATTTAAGTATATAATAGTTTAACTGACATTTTAAATATAAATCATTTTAGTAAGTAATAAAATAATAGCGCACATGCGCACATGCAACAAAATATAGCAATTATTTAAAAACAGTCCTTCATACATTCGTCCATACATTATTCTTTATTAGCAATCCTTCTAAAATTTGGATAAAAGTGATAATGCTCAATATAAATTGTGGTGATCTCTATATGCTTAGTGGTAAGACTTACGGACTTTTAGTTAAGTAAAACAACGTACACAAATTTTCTTGTAAAAATGTTTTATTTCTTTCAATTTAAGTACAAAAAAAATATATTTTTTATAATCGCGAAGAATGAATACAATAATTAATTTTTCTTTTCTTTTTTTACATAAACTTTTTTAAAAAAAATCAATAATACCAAATCAATATATATTTTTCTTTACACTTTTCATCAATAACCTAATTTCAACACAAAAATCAATACATTTTTACATCATATCACAACAATATCCATAAATGGACGTTAACTGCATATATCTATTATAATAATCTTAAAAAACGTTAATCAATTTTAACCAATAGTGTTCTTTTTAAAAATATTTGTCAAATGATAATCATCATAGCAATTTTAAGCCAATAGTAATTCCCATGTGATTTGTAATATAGCGAATTTCTTCAATCTATTGTTTGGTTATCTGATAGCAATTAATTATAAATTTAAATATATAGGTGTGATGATATAAATTTTTGATATTAATGAATAATTTTTAATTATTTTAGAGTTAATTTTAGATTGCATTAGAATATTTTGAGAAACATGGATTTCCAAACTGCCTTGGCTCATTAGATGTTAAGTACATAAAAATCAAAAGTTCTGCAAAATCTGCCATTTTTTCAATTATAAATCTTTTAAATCTATTGCTTGGTTTAGCTGATAGCAATTACAAATTTATATTATAGATGTGATTGTGGCACTCTCAGAAATAGCAGTTTATATCAAAGTAAATTTTTTTAATTTTTTAGAGTTAGAAAATCAAACATTTTATATCTTGAGAAACATGGATTTCGAAATTGTATTGGCTAATGGTAAGCACATAAAAATAAATAGTACTGCTGTTATATAATAAATTTAAATATTATATACAGTGATATGTGTAAATTTTATATCAAGCGTTCTTAAAATTATCTTCACTTTTATATTCTGATATATTCAAATTGTACAATTATACTTTACTTTTACTTTTCGTTTTATAACTTAACCTTTTGATTTTATATTCTAATTTTTAGATATAAAAAAGTTATATAAACCATATGAAATATAAATAGAGTGAACATTTTTTATTTACTAATCAAGTGTTCCACATGCCTTTTCACATGCAAAATTAGATTTTTTTAATCAATTGATATCTTTTAATTAGGTAATTTCATAGGTAAATATTTGCATCTCTCTTATCTTTTCTGAAAATTTGGCTTTTCTACATGCATTCCATAGTGTGTATATTTTCTCATAACTTCATAATTGTTGAGTGCATGTATTCATAACATATTATAACATTTTTGATTAATTGTATAACCTATTTGTTTTCTTATATATAATTTGACTATGATTGAAGTTAAATTTCTATTATTTGTTAACTTTTATACAACTATATACCTTTTAATTAGGTAATTTTTAGGCATAAGTAAATATTGCCATCTCTCTTGCCTTTTCTTAAAATTTGACCTTTTTACATGCATTCCATAGTGTTGTATATTTTCTCATAACTTCATAATTGTAAAATGTATGTTATTCATAACTTATTATAACAGTTTTGATCAAATGTATAACATTTTTGTTACTTATATATAATTTGATTATTATTAAAGTTAACCTCCTATTATTTGTTAACTTAGAATATCTTTTTATTTTTTCTATTGTAATTTAATAACAATATCTTAAATTCAATTTTATATTTTGTAACTAACTAATAAATCATTTGGATGGGTGGTGGTATGTTTAAAATTTAAATTAGGATAAACATAATTTAAGTTTGGTACTTTAATATGTATTCATGAATTTCATATATATCAGGAGCTAAACAGTAGAATGATAGGTAAATCAGATATTTCCCCTTCATTTGATGATAATTTTGAAAAATTTTCCCCAATAATATAAAATGGCAAAAAAAAATGTACATATGAAAGATTTAATTCTTATAAACCCCTTACATCAGGCCTATTTTTCTGGATCCAAGGAAAAAATATATTATTCTGGGTTTTCCTGGGCTTGGGAAATATTTTTCACAATTAATATGGACTTGGACGTAGCTTGAGAAATAATGATTTTAGCTTAAATAATATGAGATTTAGCAAATATGATATCCAAGCATTTCTGCTAGCTATGAGCAAAATCTACATAATGTTACTTTGTATAATCTTAATTGGGCGGTTTTTTATAATCGATCATGCTTTTTAACAACACTACTTTTAAAACATGCTAAAACAAATTTAGTATTAGTAAACAATCTATATATTTATAATTATTGTCACCAGTTTCAGCCAATAATTTTAGGTGCTTACGATATTGTCAGTAGTGTTGTAAATCGGCTCGATTTGAGCCGATTATTAAAAACGGCTAACTCAATATTTTAGCCAGAAAAATCGTCGAGTTTTCTTTAATAGATGTTCATACCTTTGTGCCACCTATGGGCAGTAATTATATTTCAAAATTTCTATTTGTATGTTTTATACCTTAAAAAGTAAATATTTAACCTTAATGTTTCTTTCTATGTGGTTTTTATGAATGAATGTTTTTACTTTTTAAATAAAGGTGTCAGGGCGGCTAATTGTCCACTTATAGTATGTCTATTGAGGTAAATATTACATTAACCAGAATTTTCTATCTGTTTCTGGCAGGCTAAGTGTGTTACTATTGACATTTGTAAGAAAAATAATAACGTAAAGATGAGAGATTTATCCAGAGCCCATTGGAATGCTGTGAAGCTCCGTCTTAGGCTAGCAACTGATGAATTTTGAGAGATGATGAAAATAAAACGAAATACAGTTATGAGATTATTCGTTATAAAAAAGATGTTTTGTGGGTTATATAAATAAAATAGGTATTCATTTAACATTATTCTGCCACATTTTAAAGGCCTATTACAACAAGTTATAATTAAGAAATTTTACGCTGGATATTAACAAATTAATTAGAAAGGAATAGAGAAAAGATGAGAATAACAATAATAAGTGCTAAGTCTAGTGTTTGCAACGGTCCGGTCCAGTCCGGTCTTATTAGACTTTTCGGTCCTATGGGACGGTCCCGTCCAACAACACGGTCCCACGGTCCGGTCCGGTCCGACCGAAGACCGATTAAAGAATATAAAAGTTTACTATAAATTGCTTTATAGTTAATGTGTATGTACATGAACATATAAAATATGATTATTTAATGCCTAACACTATATAATATCTAATTCATCGTTTACTTTTTATATTCTTCCGTTTCATTAAATTCAATATTCATAGTTTACTTTTTATATTCTTCTTTGATTAGGCATTTGTCTATAATATAATAAAAATGAATTGATTATATAATTGAAATATTAATAGGGTAATTTAACTATTCATTTTTAATAAATTTAAATGCAGAATAAAACTTTTGTAGCTTTATAAAAAAAATTTTTTTAGGTGGGACCGGACCGCCTGGACCGGACCCGACCGACGGTCCCACGGTCCGGTCTCATTTGACTTAACGGTCCATCGGTCCGGTCCCATTTTAGAAAAAAAGACCGGACCGAACCGGACCGTTGCAAACACTAGCTAAGTCGATGCCACACATTCAGTGGGCATAAATATTATTATTTATACGCGCTAAAATGACAGATAAATGTTTAGGATCGCATCAAAGTTGAAGATGTAGTCTAAGACTCTGACCAGATTCTTCAAAAAAGAAAATTGTAAGATAAGAGAAGAGAGAGAAGAAGAGAAGAGAAGAAGAAGAAGAAGAAGAAGAAGAGAAGAGAAGAGAGAAGAAGAAGAAGAGAAGAGAAGAGAAGAGAAGAAGAAGAAGAAGAGAAGAGAAGAGAAGAGAAGAGAAGAAGAGAAGAGAAGAGAAGAGAAGAGAAGAGTGCCCCAAATGAATTAGGTTACTAAGTTCAACATTTTTATAGTCATATAAAGCTGTTATATTGTTATCTAGAAAACAAATTTCTTCTAAGTTAAAGTGTATTTCAACTTAGGAAATTTAACCAGAACCAAAATTGGGCTTCCACATAGATTTAATTTTTTTAAAAAAAAGTTCTTTACTGCTTAAATCATTTAAACGATCTTTGAACTTTGAGATTGAACTTTAAAAATATTGGTTTTAACCTTTAATCTTAGACTTAAATTAACGATTTTTAATATCGAAATTAAATTGAAAATAGGTGCATCAACTGGTTAAACAAATCATAAATAGAATTCAACCTCCAGGTCTAATTTTTAAGAGTTGATTTCAAACCTAGCCTTTAAGCCATCAAAAAAAAAGCTTCGACTAATGTGGTTAAATGGTTCGATTTTTAAAAACTCATAATTTCGATAAGAGATGTCTAAACTTTTCTGCCCTATATAAGCAAAATCTTAAAGCTTGCAAAATATTCGCTGGCGAAAATATTAGGTAAGCCTTTTTTTTTAAAAAAATAGAGCCTTTTAACAACGTTAGCTTCGACATAGAGGTAAAAATATTTTTAATAGAAAAACTTTATCCTCA